TATGGAGAATGTATCCAAAATTATGGACAAATTATTCGGAGCGCTATCCCAATAGGATATATCCCAGACCCCGAAGATTTGTTTATCTCGTTCATATTCACTGAACTCATGTAATAGAAAACTATAAGAAGACCGTGCAAGACATGCCGGAGGAAATCGATCAAATCGTATGTTACAAAATGAGGAAGAAATTCTTAACACTGAAAAAACAACCAATGACGCACAGACAAATTTCTCGTGAGAGAAGCAACTACACGAAAACTAATAATTGTATCCAAATCACATTCATTCTGTACAAGCATCGCAATCATAAGACCAGCCTATCAGGTTACGTTTTTTGAATTATTATTAGAACAAAATAATTAATCTGATGGACTTTTCATTCACGAAATTGTTGAAAAACATCGAAATTTATAAAAATTGTCCACTACCAATAGAAATAACGGTAACTTTGAATAAATAATAAGTTTTTTATCATATTTAATTTCTATGGTAAAAAACTAATAAAACGGTTCCCGTGTGTATTATCTGTAAGATTGATGTCATTGAATAGATAAGTGAACTCTGATCAATACTATGTACATTAATAGAACCAGAACATTCACCTATTGACGTATTTACATCAGCTATTCAGATGAATATTACATCGACACCTGTGTGGCACTTTTACTGAATTTTACTAATATTACTAAGTTGAAAAATGTAAGTAGTGTGTAACCCTGTACAATCTTAAACTAAGTACATTTTTTCACAAATATATGTTTTCTTCACGAAACAGTTTACTTAATATCATTTATTTTTCAAACAAAAGTTTTAAATCCATTACAAACTGATTTGACAAAAAAAAAACTAAAAATGCAATTCTTTTACCATAAAAATAAACAAGGAATTAAAAATTATCTGTCAAAATAACTAAAACTGGTCCAGAGGCCCTGAGAGAAAAGATTTAACAGTAAATGATCATCCCACGTGTCAATTTCATCTTGAAAGCAACTTTCTTCATTCTCGTTGAAGCCTATTTCGAGCTCATTTGAATACGATTTTAGCAGAAATAAATTTATAAATATGACTATATTTTGCTGTGAATAACTACGTCACATCGCTTTCTTTTCATTTCATACGGCCTTAGGCTTCGCCAATTGTTGTTTATGTTTCCATATTCTTTCTTATGATTAGAATTCTGATTTCTTTAGGTAACAACATTAATGACAGGGGTGCACTTAGGCTACACATAACTTACACAGCTGGTTTGTCCAATAAAAAATTGTGTTTAAGTAGACTGCTACAAATTTCATGCTGCTTTGGTTAGAAGATGAAATTTGAAAGAAAAACTTTTATTTATAAATTTATGAAAAAATGTATTCCTGCTTTTCCTCAAACTATTAATAATGTTACTACTCTCTTGATTTTATATACAGGGCGTTAAATGTTTTGAAAGTACCCAATTTTTTTTAAATATGGAGTTATTGTTATCTAAGCATGCGAAATTTCAATTGTTTTGCAAAAAATTAATGATCTCATTTCACATAAGTTACACGGCTTGGATATACAGGTACTTATGTTATGGTTCTCGTAATTAAGAAACTAATTAATAAACGATAATTAATTAAAATCCATAGAATTCTAGTCGGGACTTATAGATTATAAAATTTTATTGCGTTCTCTTGTTCTGTTATTGAATTATAGATATAATAATGTTGAGTTATTCTGAAACTGTTTAGAATTTTGGATGTTTTCTAAAATCCTTATAAGAAACAAGAAAACATTTGCAATGAAGACTTCATAATTTAAAATACAATACATATATAATTCAATAGTGGAACAGAAAAATTCAGTAAAATTGTATGATTTCCTAGAAGTTCTAATCTGAATTCAATTTATTTTTGTTAATTATCATTTGTTAAGCAGTTTCTGATAATTATATCGGAGAAGTGATATGAAATGAAGTATATTTCACAGAGCAATTAAAAATTCATATGTACATCCTCCTTGGAATTATTAACAGTATCTCTTAGTGACACTTTTCGATATATCAAATGATTTGGCTACTCGGGATCATTTTGATAAAGAACGACAGTTTCTCATAAATCTACAAATAAAAAAGTTTTTCTTCAGGGCACAATTGAGGAACACACTGTATATTGTTGTATAATTTGAAAACAACTCAAGCAAACATCCATCACTTTTGATTTTGCTTTACAATATTATGAAAATATTCCGGTATTTTTACGTCATACCAAGTTTTTTGGGTTTACAAGACATCAATTTGTCCTAACAGCCATAACATCATACAATCAGTTTTCATTTTTTATTTCTGCTAAGCCAAACGGCCACAAAAGCGTTGTTATTGTTAGTACCAAAAAATACTGACTTAATTAGGTACCAAAGATTTAGGATTCAAAGTAATCATAAAAACATTGCAAATTCTGTAAATATTTACTTTTATGTACTTATAGTCCATCTAAAAATTGAGAGTTGAATGACCCAAAAAAAGTGTATGGGCAGGACAATGTCGTATCTAGTTCCGATATTTCCCATTTTAATTAGGAATTGTATCAGATTTTTTTTGTATTTTACGTATAAATGCAATCAATTATTTTTTCATGTTTAGTTTGGTTTTTATTTAATTTTATTGATTTATTGCATCACATGTAATATACAGGATGTTCCAATTAAAACTTCCCACATGGAATATATCGGAATTTAAAAAAAAAACAAAAGAAACCTGAAACACGTCGATTTTCTTTTCAAGGAGGACACGTGATGGCGTTTTGGTTTCTTGGAAGCAACCCCTTAGGCAGGGGTGTAGAATACCCTTAAACTTTAAATGGCGCCCTATGACTGAGTGACACCTGCTCACGACGACATACGACTTCTTAAATTTTTGTTTGGATATGACAATAAAATCATCACTTAAAGAATAAGACAAAATATCAGTGAATAAAAGAATGTTATTTTATTAAATGTTCAAATTGGTTTACCTACTCTTCCATACAATAATAAAATCTTTGCTCCACTTCCGAGCGAATATTTCGAAGCATTTCGATTATCTGACGACATATATTTTTATATCAGTTTATCTCTCTCGAACTTATTCATAGAAGCAGGGCAGATAGGACATTAAAATATGTGTACGTTGTTTGCGCAGTTTTTCTTAACTACAGAAATTCGGTTGTAGAGTAAGTGTTATTAATTTGTACGAAATAAATGATTTTGTGTTAAATGTGATCTTATTGTTAATTACACAAAAGTAAACATGGAAAAGTCATTCAACTCATCCTTCGAGCTAAAATTTGAAGAATGAGCTAGCGGCAGACCCGCCAAGGCTTATACTGAAACCGATCTGGTTTTACTAGGTTTTCAATTGGAATGTTACATCGTGATCTGTTATTTCAAGCTATTGTTATTCCGTTCCGTATGCAGTAGTATTAAACCAACTTTAAATTCGCATCGGTCAACCTTGCAGGTTCTCTGGAAAGAATAAGGACAAAACACGACTCCAAAGAAGTCGCGATGTGATGTGATGGCCAGACAATGCGAATCAGCCTCGAAAACGAACAGTTGCATTTTTGACTAGGGTTACCAACAATGTCATCTTAACTAGAAAACTTTGGGTTTTTCAAATGATAGCACAATTTAAGAGGATATACAATAGACACATACATATTATCAGAAATCCGGATTAAGGGATAAGATACCTGTAGAACAAAACGTTTCCGATTTATAAAATTTAAAAAAAATTAAAAAGGGAATTAATAGAATCGTGTTTTATAGAGGACCTTAAGCATGTTCGAAACTTTTTATTGTCCAGAGCTGTGCCAAATAACGACATGTCCTTAATAATACCATAACCTTGTAAAGCATGTTCAACCAAACCTTTAATAAACTAATATCGAAATGCAATATTTCTCACAAACGAGAACGGCAAATCACTACAAACTTGTACAATAAAAAATACCCAATATAAGATGGATCCCAGGAGCTATAGTAAGTTCATGAATAGTATGACATAACATATAATATCACATTTTAATACAATATTAAGACATGTTATTGTTATTTTCAGGAAGAATCAATAAAATTCGAAAATGAATAATAAAAACAAGTAAATATCATATTTTTTACATTATGTGAAAAGATATCTAAATCCATATTTTAATCATAGACTTCAGCAATAACTAGAGATTTAACAATTCGGAAATGACCGAAAACAAATTACATTTCTTCATTTATTTCTGAAACAAACAATTAGAAAAAAATTAAGAAACTAAAAAAATATTTGAAAAATACTATTAAAAATTTTTCAGATAGATTTTACCGAAATAAACCTCGATGAATATACTACTTACTGTATTTTAACAAAATATATATAATTCGGGATCGAGATGCCATCAGTACACAACAAATAGAAACAAAATTTTACAATTTCTAAAATAAAATAACATTTAAAGTAGCAAAAACAAACTAAAAAAACGAGCTCAAAACATATTTTAATTAAACATGATTTTATCTTTATCAGTTTCTTCTGAAAACGGAAATAGTCTGATGATTTTATATTAAAAACAATTTTTAATGGTTATTTTTTTATATATGTAGTATTTATACATTTTCCATTTTTTTCTAGTGGTCTTTGGAAAAATTTACAGCAATGATTTTTTTGATAATAAAACATTGCGCTTAAAATTCTATTTCTAGCAAATATATTCTTTAAATTTCTTTTGTGTGGCAACGTAAGTTAAAAAAAATAGTAACGCTAAAATGCTTTTATTTTCGAATAAAATAATTAGATTACTCCGGATGTTTGTTGATTAACTTTATCATATCATCATAAGTTTTCCCTAATTACTATGTTTCTAATTATCATTATTTAACTTATACCTAGAGCTCATTTGTATAATTTGATAAGAAAAATACAAATGATACAAAATATTACTGAAGCCGTACAATAATATTGATTTACCATACCTTTTCAACACAAAGCGTGACATATAAACACTTACCTGTCAATTTTGTCCAATGCAGTTGGTTGGTGAATAATTGTTTGTTGTTTTTCCATTTCCACGACACATTGTGCTCCCATTTCAAGTTCTGCAAAAAAATTACTATAAACACCTTTTATTCTAGATGTACCTATTCTAAAGGTTGATTCTTCATGTAAAAACAATTTCTTTGGAAATTTATTAAATTAGATCAAGATCAATATACTGAAAATGTATGTTATAAAAAAAAAATTATAATGGAAGTAAACATGCGAATGTCTTGGGGATAGGCTGTTTACAAAACCTACCCCTAAAATGTTATTGGACAAACTTTATTACATCACAAATTAAACGAAAAAATGTTATTTTTATAAGATACTGTCCCCCTGAATTCACTATGTAAACAGTACCAAGTAATTGTCGTCACGATACTGATAGGAGCAATTATTATTTAAATTAAGTTGTCAAACGGTGAAATCCTACATACATAGACATTTTTTGGGGCACCTGTTTCTGAATAGTGTAGGTACCGAGATGATCTCATTACTGTTAATATCATAATTTGGCATTTCTGAGAAATACCTGTCGTCTCTATTTACGGTAGTTACAAAATTCAATATTTATAAAATTTAACGTAAAACAAAGTCAAATACATGATAAAAAGTTCATATTTATGTATTAATGCCAAATTTAATAATAAAATAGGTTGTCACAATAAAACATAAAAAGTGGTCGGTGTCGGTATCTGGTATCATTGAATTAATAGAAAAGTAAACATCACGATACCTTTTTTAGTCTGTTAGTCACTGTTAGTCATTATTTATCAATAGGTTAGAGAATACAATTTATTTACGAAAGTATTAACATCCAAGGATATGTTCTTCAGTGAAGGTACACAAAAGACATGTTTTTGTTGTCATGTCTGATTCTGGGATAATAGCTTTTTAACACATAAATATTTCGATATTTCTGTGTGCCTAAAAACTAAACAGCAATACATAAGTAATGCATCCTAGTTTTAGTTTCATTTTCACTTAAAAAGATTGTGACAAGACAATACTAAAAACACGATGTGACCCAGGTAGGTAAGGCAAGAAGTTCGTCGCCTGTTTCATAAAATAGAGAATGTTATAGAAATGTCCAAAAACTGTGTAACTATAAACACTTTCAATCTATTTGCCTATGGTATTATTAAAAAATACGAACCTCTTCTGTTGAAAGGACGAAGCCTTACAGCTACTTTTATTTTATCTGTAGACATTTTTGTTTGGTTTCACTTAATTTACAACAAAATATGTATTTATTTACACTATTATCACACTTTCTTTGTATAAATAATTGCTTTACTATCCATTTTCAAACATAGTAAGTCACAAGGTATCACTTATCACAACACGTAAATTCACAACTTTCGCCATATTCGAAACGTAATATTGGACATTGCGCCACACTCATATCCAGACTGCGCAAATTTTATCTATAGTTGTATTTTCCTATCCATTTTCCAATGAAGAATGAAATCTCTTACAGAGACCTCTATTTTCCGTAAGAGAAACATTATATGTCAAATTTAAGCTGAAGCGCCATCTTCCGATTTTTATTTCATACTGACAGTTACAACGTAGATTACTGCTTTAGTGGATTATTTCCAATTTTCCCTTTAAAAATATTAATTAAAAAGACCTTTTATTAAACATATTATTTTATGTATAAGTTGCAAATTAATTTTCATAAAATTCTAAACACTACCCTGAAGTGTGGAGACTACAAATGTAGTACAAAGCTAAAAAAATGTTTTTAGACTCCAAAGCAGTAGGTATTAAATACTTCTGTGAAATGTATAACGCACAGCTTAAAATTTAAGTATAGGTGCAAGCGATCTTTAATTTTACAAAATTTAATACATCAAAGATTAATTTAGACTTTTTTATCATGTTTTCAACATTGTTTTTTAATCAACAATGAAATCATTTGTGTTATTCGCATGTGGAAATTGAATTACCCACGTCTTTTTCTAGGCAAGTAGTCAGGGTCAAGGGTCAAGAGTCAATGATATTTATAATACATTAAATATCCTTGACCCTATGTATTATAAATATCCTTGGGCAGTGTGAAGTATGGCAGCACCCCACTTCTACGAATGAGGAAACTGACCTCTGTTAGACAATAGCGAAAATAAAGATCAGTTAAAAAAAATTGGAATTTGAAAGTTGGAACCTACTTAGAATAGAAATTGAGGTTAGGTTCAACCACTGCTGTCTGGTGTGCATGTGCAGCGAATTTTGTGTTTAATTTTTAGTAACATCAGGTAATATTGCATCAAAATGAATAGGGGAAAATTTCCGGATTTAAAAAAATTGATCAAAGAAGAAAATACTCCTGGGCGTCTGCAATCATTGCGAAATCCGCGCGATCTGAACCTAGGAGGTCCAAAAGTCCCAAAAAAACAATTTGCACCTAACCTTAATGTTGTTAGAAATAAAGATAAAATTAAGGAGTAAGTGGATTTTTTACGTATGAATACTGACAGTATATCTTAATATTATTATATTTCAGAGTTACAAAAAAAATTGAACACAAGCGAAATGTTAGAAATGATAAATATAGCAAACGGAACAACTCCGATCAAAGGTTTATACAGTCCTCTGGAGTATTCTCTGATGGTATCGGTCTTGATGCTAAAAGGGGCTATAGAACTAGACATAGCAATACAAAGGAAAATGATGTTACTCCTAGCATGACTGTACCTACAATTAAAAAAAATTCTTGGGAAGTAAGTCCAAAGCTACAGTTTGACATAATTTTTAATATACAGAGTATGCCGTTTAAACCCTCCATGCCCTTAGCTCTTATAATTTTTAATACGTTACAACAATCGCAGTATTTATTTGTAGCTATTTTCAACGTCTCAACTAACAGTTTAATTTTAAAAACAAGTTATTGTACCTGTTGAAACATACAAATTTATTCTTTAAACCATAACGATAGCTTTAATTTGATATACATGTTGATAGCTTTTATTGGTACATGATTAGTATTAGTATTTAAAATTTGATAACTACTTGTAAACTACTATCACAGAGAAGATATGGTTAAATTGAAGCAAAAGTGCTGAAATATTTAGGCACTTATAAAGTATTAAAAAAATACATATATAATTGGCCAGTTTTATAAGTACTATTTAAATATAAGGAAAATGTGTTAAGCGCCCCACACACTTTCGGGCTTCGTGACAGTTATAACCGAACGTGACTACACCGTACTGGTAAATATGGAAGTGTATGTGCAATCCCGAATAAAATTATCCTGAACGGGTAATCCCGAATAACATCAGGTGCCAGTTGAATTTCGTCGGGACCGGATGCCGTGATTCACCGGCCTGTTTGCTTTCCTGAGAGTGTGTGCGCTCCGAATACTGTACGTGATTGGACCGCGTGTTGGATATTAGATCGGATAGATTTTAAAGCTGTACTGTTTTCCTCCTTGACCCATCTAGAACGCTGTCTTTTCAACTTTTTCGTTTTTAAATGTGGTACCGTGATTCCAAGTAAACGCAAAATACGCTTGGACGCCATTTTACTACTAAAACGGAACAGTTAAAACAGTTCGGAGAGAAAACGAGTGTGTGTGTCTTAGCAGGATTCGGGAAACCGGCCGGGTAATCACGTTCGGTTATAACTGTCACGAAGCCCGAAAGTGTGTGGGGCGCTTTAAACATTATTGCTAAACTAAACTGTTCAGGAGGTCTTGAAAAGATCTACAAAAATAGATACCTAGATTATTGCAACTTTTAAAAATTATAGAGTGGAGAATTGTAAATGGTAGGACCCTGTCTATTGTATAGGAAATACATATTTATATGCATAGGTTGATAGGAAAAATGAAGAAAACATCTTTGATCAAATAATGGCAACAGAGGAAGATATCGAAGATGAGAAATTACCATTTCAAATATTATCTTGGACTGAACAAGATTTTAAGGTTGTCGCAAACCCTATTCATATTAAATCTGAAGTTAAGGATATTAAATCGGAACCAGAAGAAGAACTAATATCCAAGTTAACAATAAATAAAAGTAATTTTTTCCTTAGCACTATTTCATTAATTAAAAATCTTGTTTTTTTTAGTTAAATTAGAAAATTCGGATTTCCCTCTAGAATATCAAGACGAAAATGCTTGTAGCGACGAAAATCCTATCATAACTTTATGGAGAGTAAGTTTATTTTATTATTATAAATTGTATATTGTGTCGACTGTATTTTTAGCTACCAGATTCGTTTGCTGGTAAAACTGTGAGTGACGATCAAGATTGTAAAAAATTATTTGATTATACCTTGCACGAGATGCCAGAAGGACAAATAGGAAAGTTAATCTTACGGAAATCAGGACTTTTAGAAATACGTGTAGGAAAAATGAAATACAGTTTAGAACCTGGTGATCTTGGATCATGTAGAGAAGTAATATTCTTAGATCTTTAAAAATTTTGAAAACTACACTTTTTTTTCCAGGAAATTGTCTCCTTAGATATTAAAGAAAATCAAGAGTCCTTGGCAGCTGTACTGGGGCAAATACAAAATAGATTCCTTTTAAATCCGGACTGGGATTCACTTTTTAATGCAAATAAACTGTGATATGTAAAAGACTTATGATATATTCCATTTTTTTTAAATATAAGTTTACTACATGGCAAAAGGCTTACCAAAATGTAGTAAAAACTTTAAAGTTTTACATTTAAAAATTAACATTGCATTTGACTTTATTTTTTACAATAAAAAATACTTAGATTTAAAGGAAAAATAGTAAACCGAAATTATTGCTTTTATATTTTGTACGTTTTTTTATAACATTATTTATTATGCCTCTAATTATTGCTTTGTGGGCCTGTAAATTGATTTCGTAAATTAATAGAATATTTCAGTCTGTAATTAAAAAATCTAAGTGACGTGTTAATATGCTATTTTGAAACAATAATTGTAATATTGAAAAAACTAAAGAAATGAATGCCTCTAATGTTTATGATATGAATTATGCTAGTCTTGTGTTGTGTATATTTTTTGCGGAACTATTTGAAAAATTACACTTTTCTAAAAAATATTGTTTAATTTTTTTAGCAATAAGAAAACACCTATAAAATCACTACTTCACATATACTTTTTCTACTACTTTTTGCTATTTTAATTTAAAAATCTACATTACCACTAATGTGTAAAATATTTCATTTTATGCACCAATTGTTACTGATTATTTTACAGCTTGTATCAGCAAATAATAATATTTCAAAATAAATAAGTACTATTTCAATTAATGTTAATCGTACGAAATACTAGGTTTGACATTGAATGTATAGAATTATGGGGTTATTGTGGGTGCACAGCTCCCTTTACTGGACTGTTGTGTGTAATAGGACTTGACAGCTTGGTGAAACCTGACGTGATGGGGTTATATGGATCATAGATTTAGATTCAGCAACCCCAAAAACAATAAAAACATAGTAGACATAGTCTGACCTTCAGACTCAAAACTTTTTTTTTGTGGATGTTATTTATTTAAATGGTAGTTTTTTAAAATGTACTGCAACTGTTTTCTTCAAATGTTGATAATATCGTCTTTCGTAATCATTATTTTGGTCCCTCCTCTCCCCACATAAGGTTTCGTTGGGTTCTCGTACACCCTCTCCTTCTGCCCTTATGCAATTTGTACACAGCCCCTTAGTACTTATCATTTTTTTTTTCAAATTATTTACTTCCAAAATTACCATCGTAGCCTAGTTCTATATTTACTCATATTTATTAATCTCATATACGTATTTAATAATTACAATTATTTATTGGAAAATATCTTTTTTACTCAAATTATTCATTTAAAAACTTATGAGATATATGTCCCTGAACTCATTAGACGTAAATAGTTAAAGTAAAATAAGTTTATAAATTCTTTACAAAAAATTTATTGGCACCCTAAGAAAATAAAAAAGATATACAGAACGAGACCCTAAAAATAGAGCACTGCTCGACGGAGGTTAAATAGAATTTTTACCTGGAATTTCTCAGGCTCTTTCAGAGGAAAAAAGACCCGCAGACACAAACGAACCCGTACTACAGCTAATAAATACCTTAGGAAAAGGCAAAACGCCGAGTGAACGCAACAATACCGAGGGACATTTATTACGATATACATATTTTCAAAGGGAATAAATCAACAGTGAAAAAGTGTTTATCTTTTTGTTGCACAGGTTCTAATGAAGTTTCAAATTTTTTTATATAAGTTTATTACAATTACAATTTTTTACATTTAGTTAAAACGGTAATTAGCGCATATTTCAAAATCACACAATTGAGACTTGTTAACATTTAAATGCTCAAAATTTTTTTATCGAAAATTCACTCACATTTGCAACTTTTTTTTAATATCTGCTATGTAAAAATCTAGCATTATCACATTAACAATTCTTTATAAAAATTATTCTAAAATTACATGAACTAAAGCGCTACACAAACTAGGTACCTTTTTTTAACAATTCCTTACAATGATTAACAATGTGTTAATAAGTTATAAAAAAATAAGTATGTTTTTATATTTGTATTTTTTTTAAGTACGTTGCTATTAATTATAAATTAGGGATTATATCAATTTTATGTACCTAAATAGTTTAATTTTTACAAATGCTGAAGATTTAAAACTTTCTTTAAGTGCTTCTAAGACAATCTGTATAGAAAAATGTTACATGAAACTTATAAAAATATTTGGTAATTGCATTAATTATACCCATAAATCCTATCAGTCTAGGAATTTTAGATTTAATGCTCTTGAAATAAAACAATAGTAATCAGTGACTTCCTCAATCTAAAAAAAAACAATATTACATAAATAACTAAAAACACCAGTAATGATAAATCACAACAATGATATATTTTATATGTCACAGGCTAATTGCGAATCCAATCTTGTTATAAAATGCCTAGGCGTTTTATAAATCACTAGGCAAATTGTAAAATGATGTATAAAAACAATTTTTTTACAATTTCACTGAATACTTTAGGCATTTTATAAAACGTCGAAGTTATAAGTCTTATTGTAGACAGAGAACTGTTAAACTAAAAAAATTTTACAAAAATACTTACTAGTTTTGATGTGGGTTTTCCTGCACCATGACCTGCTTTTGTTTCTATACGTACCATCAATGGATTCTTTTGCTGCGGCAATTTACCAACTTTGTTTTGCAGCTCCGCTATAAATTTCAGCGAGTGTAGTGGAACCACACGATCATCGTGATCTGCTGTGAGAAGTAAAGTAGCTGGATACTGGCTCCCTTCTGAAATAGTTTACGTATATCAAATAAGAGACAAAAATCTTGTATTATTTTTAAATTTTTTTTTATTTTCCAATTCTCTAAAGTGCAAATTTTGCTGAGGTTCACTTTTCTAAAAACAATAAAAACCGATCTGGAGATTTATTTGTAATAGATCTTAGATCTAGATGGAAGTCTAGATCAAACAAGTCAGTTTGCTAAAAGTTTATTTTGGTAAAATTACCTAAAGATATTGAACAAGATAAAGTTAAACCTTAACAAAACATTTTCAAGTTTTAGTTTCAACTATTTGTTCAGTATTCATAAAAACGAAAAACATTAAAACATTCAAATTTTGTATAATTTTTAAGAAACATTGTTATTATTAGTTTTTAATACAAAGTAAGTTTAGCACTGTAATATGAAATTCATCTTTTACACAAAGTTGAATGCAAAATAAATTTGAGGTTTTTATGTTTTTTAAGCAGTATTACTTGCAGTATTTATTTTGATGTAACTCTCAATAGTAAAACCTGCTCTTTAAAAAATTAAAGATATTTTTATTTAATAAGCAACCGGAAATTCATTTCCTACAAGGTGAACAGCACTGTTTAACATTTTTAGAGTTTCTAACGATGCAGTAACTGTTTCTACATTTTTGACAAATTAAAATATGATTTTAACTTTTAACGCACTCCGAAAAAACTTTAATACACATACAGTTTATTAGATAAAAGGATTTGGAAACTGTCAATTATTAATTTTTTTTTTATTTGGTTCTCTTATATGAATAAAATTTTGCAAATTCCTTTAAAACAGTATAAAACTAACCTTTTGGTATCTGTATGCTATGCAATGGTGAATATTTAATTAAATATCTAAACTGTTCTTCTTCTTCTGAAGATCCATAGTCTGATGTCCAAGCATAACCTATGGTAAACTTATGGTATCGTAACATATCTAGAACACCAACTTGGCATATAGCAGCTCCAAACAAATCTGGAGCCTGATTGACACAAGCAGCCACTAAAAGTCCACCATTTGAACCACCTTGAATTGTTAGTTTATTCACACTTGTATATTTTTCATTTACTAAATATTTAGCTGCATACTGAAAATCATCAAAGCAATTCTGCTTCTTGTCAAAACGACCTCCATTGTGCCATTTCTCACCATATTCACTAAAAATATAAGTATTCCACAGGTTGGACAGTTTATCTCATAACGTAACCTTACCCCCCACCACGAATATTTGCTAAAGCAAAAACACCGTCGAAGTTGTTGATGAATATTATACTTGATACTCCAAAAAAGGGAGTTAAATTTATATTAAAACCACCATAGCCATAAAGTAGACAGCATTTAGAACCATCTTTAACAAGTCCCTAAAAAATATTATATATCAAAAAAATTCCAAGCTTTGACTTATACAAGGGTTTCTTTTTTCAATATTGCGTAATCAACAATAACTATAAACACACTGTTGCCAAAATGAAAAACTTTTTAAATAACTTTTAAATGGATACTCTTACACTAAGACTTGCATTATTCTCCCCTGTTTGAAATGTATTGTGATCTACCACTAAAGGTGTAGTATTACATTATTCTGCTTATACTACATTTTGTTTTGGATTCTATATTGACATATTTACTCTTTTAATTGGGACTAGTTTCCTTGGATAATTAGTTAGAATAAATAAATTGATTTGATTTACTTTACCTTTTTGCTAACAATAAACATAGGAATATTCGTGCCATCCTTGCTTTTAAAGAAAACCTGTTCAGTTTGATATAAAGAGGGATTAAAATCTCCTACTTTAGTTTCGTGAATTACCTAAAAAACCATTAAAAGTTGAATAAGTGGTTCAGTGGTTCAAATATATTTTTTACCGATTCCGAGATTTTGTCACCGTCAAAGTCGACTTTGTGGATAATATTTGGTGTTAAAAATGAACAGAAACTGAAAAACATTTCTTTATGGAAATATTTGCCAGATACAGCTGAAATTGAACCCACATCCAATTTGAAATCATATATTTTTTTACCTGACTTTAAATCATGAATTGCCATGACATTCTAAAAGTAAAATAATTAATGAGGTGATTAAAATAAATTATATAAAGATTACCTTAACATCCTTCAGATAACAGAGAACAAGCATGTTGTTATTTATAATATGTGCCCAATGAAGCACATCCTTTGGGTGTTCTTTTACCAAATCGACCCAATTCAATTCTGCATAATTTTCAATATCAATGACAATGAGCCTGCTGTTTGGAGCATTTTTGTTTGTTAAGAATACAAATTTGGTTCCAGTATTTGTAACATACTAAAATCCAAATAGGCATCAAAGTTAACATCAGAATAAATAGCAATTATAATCAAAAACAATAAAGGTCTGATATATGAAAGAAGTATGTACTTTCTGTATGTTATAACAGGCTAGTTAGTTTGAATTTCAAACAGAAAATTTTTTATAAATACATTTTATTGACTTTAAAAAGGTAGTCTCCATGCGAATTGCAACAATATTTCTTCTACCACCAAAAAATTTATTGTGTAAATTAAATTATAAAATTATAAACAATTTCTTTCTTTAGCCACGAAGTATTTCATTTACTCACTAGTGTTGAATATGAAACAAGATAGTGAGGTAATTATTAATTATTTATATACAGAGTGATTCATAACTTATCCAATAAACTTTGGAGAAATGTGAATCGATAACATCAAAAAAATTATATACAATATTTACAGGATTTTGAGAAAGAAGATATTTGAAGTCGTTAAATTTACAAACATGCTTAGCTGGACGAGTGTAGTGCATTTATTAAAATGTATTATATCAGTATTATTATGGTTTTCACAGTGCACTTATTACTGTGGTTTATTGTTTATATCAGTCTTACAACAGTTTAAAATGGCCTACGAGTATAGTAACGCAGAATTAATGGAATTGTTTTAATTTATAGCAAAACAAGGAAAAATGCTTTACAGCTTTTCGCTTGTATGCAGAACGCTTCATGGGTGCCAATTGCTGCTACTTTATTGTGTTGGTTCAAGGGGTGAGTGAAAGGGAAAGTTTGCAACTAACACATTATATTGTAGCAGACGAAAAACAAATTTTACACATTGAGAAAAAAAATAATGATAACTCTTTAAAAATAATTTTGTAAGTTACAAATCACTATTATATTAAGTATTATTTGAATAAAATTTAATTATAGATCTGACAACATGAAAGGCTGTAACAGTGGTCAGTACTATCATCGTGACAAAATCAAATATAAACAATTTATTTTTCACAATAGTGAGTAAAATATTTACTTGATAGGAACATAAAATTTTATCTTTATATACTTTTTCATCCATCAGATCCTTTAATGAATTAAAAAATAAATGTGGATATAAATGACAAAAAAAAAACAGAAAAGAAAATAAACTAATTTAAATTTGTTTGATCTAAAAAAGAAAAAATAAAATAATTTAATTACCTATACAAAAGGTTTAGTGACCTTAATAATTTTTTTCGGGATTGTTAGTTGTTAGTTACATAGAAACCAAATAAACTAACAATCCTGAAATAACACAATTTAAATTTGTTTGTTACAATAAATTTCTTATCCACCTAATACAAAAATAAGCAAACAGATCATCAAATTTAAGAATATGATTAATTGTAATTACCTCATAATCTGCATTAAACTCCGTAACGATTGGAGTCAGTTCAAGTTTTTTGGTAACTGTTTTATCAGGTTGAAACTTTGTAAAATATAACAAATTATTTTTACACCCTTTAATTGGTGTCACTATTAAGTAATTCCCACAGTGACTTACATGAGCTCCCCTTAAAAATAATTTATTATTTATTCTCTGCAACTCCTAAGTAAATAATAAATAATAATATAAAAAATAATTAACACAAATTAAGTTAGCTACTAAACACAAAAATGTTATTGCAAAAATATTGCCTAGGAATGAGTTGACCTTAATTAATATAAACATTTCCTAGTATTATTGATTTATAATACTAAATTTGACACACTATTGTTTAAAAATTTTGTATGATCTGGTTATCTCTCTAGTCAGGGAATTATGGACCGTTTGCTCGATGAAGATAATATTCCCAGGAAACAGGATATGAAGGCAAATGAGAAAAAAGATAGGAAATAACAAGCAGGAAAGGTACTTGAGTAGTGCCATTCTATATTTTAATAAAGATTTGACCTGAAATTTATAACAATAAAGTATGTTTACAAATTGTTTATTTTTCTTATTCAAAATTTGATTTTGCACTATATTTGTTACTTCCAAAAGTTTTAAACACATGAAGAAAACATATAACCTTTAAATTTATTTAAAAATTTTAAATAGATAAAAATGAAGGTGAAATGACAAATGACATAAGAGACAAATTTTTGTGGATTGAAAATACCAATAAGCTCATTTGTGTTTCCAAAAAGAGGTTATTAAGGATTATAGTTTTTCAACATAAAACATTGTTAAACAACTTAAATTATGCATATAAAAACAAGTTAAATTTTGAAATTCAAATTAAGATAATGGAGATTTTTCACGAAAAATCCACAAATGGAGAAGTCGGACATTATTAAATTATATTCGATATTCATAGAAAATAAAACATAGTTCCAAATAAAAATACTATCTAAAGTATGGAAGTGAACAAATTAATTACACAAAGATTATATAAGGAAAAATACTTTGTATCTAACACATTAGAAGAATCCTTTAAAAGATATTAGATATTAGATATAAAAAGATGCACAACGTAATGCACATATGGGATGGGAATAAATGGGGAAAATTCTTAAAGGGAACACCTGTAAGAGATTAAGTTCTTCACTGTTAATGGAAGCTAAACATGGATAGCTTAACACAAGTAAAAAAAAATAAATTGTATTACCCTTATGAAACTTCTAATTTAAAAAATTCATAAAATTTGTATGCTCATTCATCATCAAATATCGAGTCAAATATTTACATTTCAACTGGTAGGAACACAAAATAACATTTTTAGTATTTAACCAAATAACAGCCAGCAAATATCTCAGAATAGTTAGAAATTATTACAATGCAAATATTATTTATATAATCTCAACGAATCCCTAAAACAAAGCAAACTGTTATCAAAGTTGTAAAGCTGATGACATTTGAATTTTAGGTTTGTTAACCACTTAGATACAATTTGAATGTAAGTAAATAAAAAAAATAAATATGTGATAATTATTTTGCCCAAAAGAACTTGAATGTAAAAAAAGAAAGTTATAGTATAGTCAATCCATGGCCAGGCAATACAAAACTTGGTGATCTAAAGCTCAAACAGTCCCGCTGAAGTAGAGAGATATATTCTATTAGCTTACATTCTAAGTTGTTCATCATCAAATTCCACAGCCATGATATCTTTTGACTGATCCGTGCCTAGTTGATGATAATATAATTTTTGATTTTTATTGGATTTGGTTTCAGAACCATCGGCTTTACCTGTTTGATCCAAGTAAGCCTAAAAGAACACATAAATTTTGAATTTAAAAAACAAAATGTATATTACCCCATAGAAAAATCCTTTATTATCATGCATCCAAGTCATTGGCGAATATTTTACTTTTTTTAAAACCTCATCATAGTCTTTACCTATTCCACAAAATAATTGGTTTAGTTAATATAACAGGAAAAATAAAAATATAATAGGGCCGTTTCCATAAGTGAAATTTTATATAAACAAAAAATAGTCAATAAATATTATAAGATTTTTCTCACAGATGTATTGAGATCAATTCAAATGACTGTTCCATTTTTTTAAAAAATCACAAAGAATGTAATTTGAAAATTTTGCTTATTTTGTCGATTTCTGTTGTGTTCAAAAAGTAAAATCTGGACTTATATAATACAATGTATTTTGTATACAAAATCTAAAACTAAAATGTGTTAAATATTTTGCACAACCTTTTCAAAAATTATATAAAAAATGGGAAACGACCCTATTGGATCACATAGATAGACCGGTTTCCAGTGATCCAAAAATATAAATTTTACTTACCAGTTTGCACATTTTTAAATTTTATTTCAATCCAATCAGAACCACTGGCACTAAGACCGTAAGCAAAAGTTTTACCATCTTCGGAAAATGCCGTTCCAGACAATGCGACAGTACCGTCTTCCGAAAATGTATTCGGATCTAAAAATACTTTTGCTTCATCCTTTAAACTCTCCTGAACGAAAATGACACTTTGATTTTGTAAACCTAAAATTTTTTTTAATAACTAACCAGAGAAAATTGTTCTCTACATCACAAAACAGTATTATATACATGATACATGACATAAAATACTTAAAACTTGTATAATTACCCGAGTTTCTATACTGATAATATTTATTCCCATGTCGGAAAGGTATGGAATACTTTGGATAGTTCCACAGTTGAGTAACTTTATCTTTTATTTTATCCTTATATGCACAGCCATTTAAATATGGTTTAGTAATTTCATTTTGAGTTTGAACAAATTCTTGTGTTTCTTTCGAATCTGGATCTTCCAACCAACGGTAGGGATCCGCAATCTAAAAGAAAGTTTGGTTAAGATAACATTTTCTTCATGCATATTTTTATATTTAATACCTGGACTCCAAAATAATCGTCTTTAACAGATTCATCTCTTCTTGCTTCTGGATATTTAAAGGACATGTTTCTTATTGAGAAGAAAGCACTGATATTCCTAATGCATTTATTAAAATAGATGGCAAAAATATATTTTCAAACAATTTTACCTACCTAAATTTTAAAACTTTCGAAAAATAATGCATTAATCAAAATTATATATTTTTTATATATTAAATAATTTCAAGCAGCTGCAAACTTTTGTAGTTTCCATTCAATATTTGTGATTATTTCTAATTCTCTATAAATGCTCAATCACATTACACATCACTTTTTAGGTTTGTGTTTGTTCGAAACGCAGGCGTTTTCAACTCTCCACACTTTGAGCGTTTTTTGCACACTGCTTTAATTCACGAAATAAACATTTGGCGATAAATAAAATATACAATCGTTTATACACCCGTTATTTTTTATCGTAACATTCGTGTCAATGTTGCCAGATAATATGAGTTCCATTCCCTTCCATTACCAGATTATTGTTATTACATACCACAGACAATAGTTACATAGGCATTTTTCTGTGGTTATACGGTACCGAATGGTGCCACGATTCTAATTACTGAATGCATTACTCTTTTGAACAAGCGGCACCGTAAATTACAAATTTCTTTACAGCAAAAAGTAATTTGAGTTTCAAACTAACTCCATAGAAAATCTACATTAGACAAACCGATTAATAAAAATCTGTAAAAATGTATTGTTGGTTGCCTATTTGCTAAACACTAAACAGCTTCTTAAATAACACAATTTTGTTTCATTTTATGCACTAGTGCGTAACATAATACTTGATAATTTAATTTTTAACAAGTGTTTTTAGATAATTGAGAAAACATTATATATGCCTTGTATGTAAACTACCCCCTTTCATTCACAGAGACTGTTGCATAAATATTCTATCAGAAAAAAAAACAGATTATTTATTTTATTTTGACCACTCCTTTTCCAGATAAACATAAATAAATAAAAAACGCACCATAAGAAAAAAATGTATTTCAGTCAAAGTTAAACAAGTCTTAAATAATTTGGGATAGTATCAAACATAGCAGTTTCTTCCTTTTAAATGTTCACTTAGACTAATTTATACAATTCTATCTAACAATGTACAAAAATCTTAAAAAATAGTTAACAAGTATTTAATATTGAGGAATTGGTGAATGTTGATGGTGGTAAGTATTAGAATTCGCTGCATTAGATAATAATTGGGAAGAGGGCTGATTAGATCTCGTTTCAGAACTGTTAATACTTCTTAAACCAGGCGGTCCTGTGTAATTGGAACTTGATTTTGGTGGGTAATTCCCTGTATTTTGAGTATTATGGTATACACTAGTCCCAGTTGAGCTAGTAGTGTTTCTCGAGTTGCTGTTGGCTGTATAAGAACTGTAACTAGAATCATCAGATTGAGGGGTTACTCTACGAGTTTGTGAACCAACCATTCCATACATAGACTCAGGTCTGTTACTTCGCGTGGGCTTAGAGTTTTCCTCAAATTTTGAAGCAATTTCAGAGTTAGCATTACTTGCTGTGCCGTAAGTGCTTTCGCTTGTGGCATAATTATCTCTCCTTTTCCTATCTGTTGTAGAATAAGTAGATCTTTGGCTTTCTGTTATTGAATAAGTGTCTCTTTGGCGATCTATGGTACTGTGGTTCTCGGACCTATTAGTGGAAGTTCCGGGTGTCACACCTCTTACACCGTATACACTCTCAGATCTCTGTTGAAGCTGGTTTTGCAGGTTTTGGTTTTGGACAATACTATGTTGGTGGAGCCTTAGTGGATACATGGATTGTGTTGGCACCAACGGTCCAGGTTTTGGTATAATATCCTTGCTGATACCTGTGTTAGATTTAGCATAAACTGACTGAGATCTGTTCAAATTAGCTCTTGTCAATGGAGGTGAATTACAATACAAAGATTTAGTACCTCCGTATATCGATTCACCTCTTTCCAATTTTGCTGGGGGAACGGAGTACAGGCTACCACAGCAATTTTGAGTGGCACCTGTGACATTAGGCCTGTAATTATTGTAAGTAGATCCGTGAAATTTTGGAGGGGTCGGTTTGTCTATATCGTCATAGTTGTCTATTTCGTCTGAATGGATACTAGACGATTCATCATTTTGCAGGTCTTTATTCGTCCTTTGATGTTTGGGATTGAAAATATATTCGTAGGTTAAACCAGATGCTATACCGCCTAGTAGAGGTCCTAACCAGTACACCCAATGGTTGTCCCACTTATTCAAAATGAAGGAAGGACCCAAGGATCTTGCCGGATTTAGAAATGGCATCTGCAAAAGTAAAATAGTTATTTTATAGTACAATGTTTTTCTATATGAAAAATTAAAAGAAATTTTTTAAACAAGTAATATGGACAATTTTGTCAAAAATCGATCTGAAAATGAAATACAGAATTCTAAAGTCTGCATTTACATCATATCTTGTCAATATAATACACAGTGTGACGAAATTTCAAGACCTTTAATCAGAGAACATAAAGAGAACACAGAGAGGGAGAAATTGAAAAATTGAAAATTTGTGATTGTACGTGGCAAGACTATTACGTTATATAATGGAATAACACAAAAATTTTGGGAAAAAGTCAATATGGTAATAAGAAAAGAAAATTTTGATAGTTGTTTATCAACTACGATCAACACAAAGTAAGTAATAACATAATAATTATAACATGGTATTTAATATCCGTATGGAAATATTTGACAAACAGATTTTTTCGAAACGTTAACTGTGTTTTATTGAAGTGATTATTGTGTAGTCGCTATAAATTATTTACTTTCTCGGTGTGAAATATTTCTGGTTAAGCAAGATAAATTTATGAAATCAACACCCTGACAGATTCTTTTGATGGAAAGATTATTTATACAAAAATCTTATTATTGTAGCAGGAATACCCAATTCAATAAAAACAGTACATAACAGAAAACGCCACAAATAAATAATTATAGACAATAAACTCCCATAATAATATTATTTTATATTGTGATGTTAACACTTCTGCATTATGATTTCAAGATTTAATTTTCCCTTAAAATTTTATTATTAATTAATTAAATTAATTAAATTAAGGAGATCACTTGAAAAAACAATCGTTAGATGCAGAAATATGTTAATTAATTTATCATGGCATTTAACATGGAATTATATGTTGATTTTTGTTTCAAAAAATTCTATATATCAGGTGTTTCTTTCAATAGTACGACTTGAATGTTTATTTTAGATAGCGCAGTACAGCTAATTTTTTTTTCAATTAATTTGAATTAGCTTATCAAATTTATGACAGACTCTATTAAAATAATGAATAATGTTTAATTTCTACTAGGAAGGAACTACAGTAAATAATTATTATGTTAACTAACTACTTACTGAAACAAATGAACATGCTGAATAGGTTGAACCGATTGCTATCGAAGAGGTTCCAATCCACTTACGATACGTGTCCATAGAAACCAAATATGAAAACACAACGATAAAGGTCATTACAAATTCAATTCCAAGTCTTTCCCAAGGGCCAGTATTACCAGCATAACTGATAATTGCTGATAAATTTCCTTGGTAACCAGAAGCGGACACCCTGAAATAAAACAAAATTATTTTTATTTATTCAGTTATTATATCAAGATCAGGTAGGTACATAGGTTTGGGAGGTTGTAACGGGAGGATTAAAAGTTTTCATTAAAGTTAGAATTTTTATTTGCATCACAGATATCTTTAATAAATAGTAAATGAACCGTTTACTATTGTATTCCATATTGCCACCAAAACAATTAACACAAAATTATGTTAATTGTTGCTGCCAATGATGTTTTCAGATCCAAGAAAATTTTTAAGTTAAACTTGTTATATATTCACTTCTCGGGGGTCATAAAATTTGACTGCGATTTCTTGTTACTATGTGTTATTATGGATTCTGAAATCCTACTTGGTATAGGTACCTAGCTTAGAATTCGGGATATTCCCCAAAATCTCAACGCGTAAGAAATATTAACAAAACAATACCATTTCTAATGGTATAATACCAAGCAGGATTCCAAAATTCAAAATAAATCTAAATACAATACATCCGTAATCCAATAACAAAACAGAAAAATTTTGTAATACTTTTATAAACACCTAAAAAGTTCTGATATGAGTTCATTTAATTTTTATTAATTTATAATTAAAATTATCATTTGTTAAGTAGTTTCTGATATAATTAAATTATGTGAAATAAGGTAATTGTTGCTTTTACAAAATAATTGAAATTTCAAACCTTTGGAATTTTCAAAAGATTGGGATACTTTGCTGTGGGCTGTAAAAAATTTAACACGGTGTATATGTACAAATTCAAGAAAAAAATAATATTTTGAGAGTTGGCCTTTTTCGTGGGACACACTGTGTAGTGTAGAAAAAAATGTTATTCGCAGAAAAAGAAATAAATTTTCAACATAAGTAAAAATATTACAATAAAATTCTATAGCCAGATTGAAGACAGTTGAAAGTTTTTCCGCGAAATAACTATGAAAATGAATAACATTACAACAAAATATCATTTTATTTCTTCATTCATAAAACTATTTATTCAGTAATCTTAATTTGTAATCTACGTCAAGCAACATTGTGTATACATTTTTATGTCAGCCCCATGCCCTTATAAAATCCCAACATAAAGGTGGTCAAAGCGTGCTGCATCTTCACCAATAAGATGATTGGATAGAGGACAGATGTTAAGAAAAGTATTTATTATATGGTAGTTTGCCGTGGAGGTAGTGGCATAAAGGTATAGAAAGGAAATGCCGCACACGTGATGTTCCAATGCCAGGTAGTTTTCTACAGATGTTTTTCAAGGCACACTGGAGATTTAGGGGCAGCCTTTTGTATATTTAGGAAATCTCTATGGTGCCGATAATTTAATCATCGCTCACAAAAATATAACTAGGTACGCTCTCTTTAAAATTTGAACTGTGTAAAATTTGGTACGCCTACTGTAAAATTCTACTTTTGATTACAAAAAAACTTTTAATATACAACGTAGTCCAGTTTCTTCACTTTTGAGATTCTCCTATTTCCCGAAAAGATAAAAAAGTATAGTTTAGTTTACTATATACAGGGCGTTTTTCAATTTTAGCCGTTTTCTATGACTTTTGTGTTGGTGAAAATTTTTTATTTTTATAATTCTATAATTTTTTGTGTGGTGACGTAATATTTTTCTACAACTTCGTTTTTTAATATGCAATAGGCAATTGGGGACACTTTAAATTTCACAGACAAAACGACTATATAATAACGCCCAATTGAAACATTTTCCCAGCCCAAAAAACGATGCGTGAAAATCGGCCGAAATACATAAATAATCACCCTTTACACTTATCAGCCTTTGTAACCAACCCCAATTGAGTTACAAAGTTTATTCCCTGGATGATATTCGACCAACGTTCAGGCTTTACTTCCCACGCGAACGAAGAGGGTACTGTCATCAAAAACTGTTCCCATATAAAACGAAGCTGCTCCACACATGTACACAACTTGCCGACATGGAAAAATATTGATTAAAGCGTAGCCGCCCTCTCATTTGCGACTTAAAAAAGATTGCCAGCGAAATGTTTTTTTGTATTTTGAAACTTGAAACACTGCTGCAAACATCTAAATGTTTGAAGTCTGGAAGATGTATGTATGTGTAAATATGAATACATATAATACTCCATGAGAAAAAAAACTGCAATTAAAATTCTTGTTATCGCCAGTTGTCTAGTCTAACACAAGCTGTCTAATTAGCTTCTTCCTGTACAAACAAAATCAATGGAAGACAATCATGACAACGTTCCAAATTATAAAGTACAAAGTGAGCTAAATAATTCTCCTACTTCCATTACCACGATTTGAAAATATCCAAATTATATTTCGCATTTTAGTCATCTAGGTATCTTTTATCCATCACTCGTTACATTCAAAAAAAGCTTTAAAATTAACTAATAGTTAATATAGCTAATTAATGTAATAATAATTACTTTTGTCCATGTTAATTTAGCTTTAACTATTTTATGGGCATTGTTCTGGCTCGCTGAAGCACGTTAAAGAACTCTATTATATTCTTTTCTCGACTAATATCCCTCGGTCATGTTTTTTTTACTGTATTTATCCATTGTAAAATTCCCAGGGCATGGATGATACAACTCCCCGCAGATAACTAAGTAGCTACAACTTGAAAAATACAACTAGCTCAGAAAGATTTATTAAACAAAAGCTAAAAGAGAGCGTGGCCACAGACACGTGCCTCTCGCCCTTCACCCAACAGGGGTGATATTCAAAACATTCTATTGTGAACTTAGAAATCTATACTTATGGTAGTCATGCGGTTGCTAGTGTGAGAACACTAAGTATTAATGGCACATATCCCAAAACTTTAATAGTTACGTACTACTAATAATTTATAAGGAACGCGTATAGAGGGTGTAACAGAAAGTATGCGAAGGGTGAAAATTTTTCAAAAACTGTCATAAAATAAATCCTATGATATGGATTTACTTGACACTTACATACAGGGTGATTAGTTACTAATTGGCGAATCTACGATAGGGGTAACTCAAATAAAGTGTTGCCGAAAATGCTACTTTTGGGTGTTAAAGTTGAAAACATTAAAATTATTTTCAGGCATATCTCTACTTCCAACATCAGATGTAACTATAAAAAAACTAGAGGTGCGCAATCTTCATTCTGTGGCCATTGTGTAAAGCAGAAATAATGATCTTAAATGTGTAAATATTTTAAGTAGCGGTATAGTTATATATAATTAATTTTTTTTGCGAAAAAATTAGGTATAAGTCAAATTTAAAATAAACATGCATGCACTTGTTGAAAACCACTGATTTAATTGTAGCAGTGTTGCCGGTGTTACACATAATTCAAAACTAACTATTTATATGAAATAGGAAAATATAAAATAAATAAGCGTCTTTTAGATAATGTCAAAGCTTTTAAATGTCTTCATAAAAATATTTATGGTCTCCACCTGCTCTCGCTAATAAACATTTCTGTGTACAGATATTGAGCTAACGCTGAGGGATGGATGCATCACAAAATGTACACACCAAAACCAATTTTTTACAATTTTAGTTATAACTAGTGCACTTACTTGGAAACTAGTTAAATTTTTTTAGGGACAAATTTTTGGAAAATGCTCTGATTATTTTTTATATTCAACGGAAAGGTTTTGCGATTTTAAAAATTTAACAGTTATATTTTATATATGTATATATAAATTTGGAAATAAATAAATTTTAATAAAATATAGGAGGGATGAGATTTTGTGTATAGAATAACGTAAATAGTTTTTGGATAAAACAACAAATACAGTTTTTCGAAATTTGTCCCAAACAAATGTTTGCGGGGTATTTGAGATATAGCTAATAAAACGAAATAATGAAAAAAATAAAGAGTGACAATTACGAAAGTAGTATATGAGTATAATTATACATAATGGCCCTCCCAAATCCGAAATTCAGTTGGCAGTAAAATTATTAAATTGACCATTACCAATAATGGCCAGTTTCGGGTTTGGACAGTAACATATCTATAAATTGGGACATTCTGTATAAATATTTAAATATATACGAGACACATTTAATGTTCACTCTGTATTTTAATTAATATGGTAGCAGAACGAAGTGTAAATTAAAACTAATCAAATATGCATCCAAATAAAGAACACGCTATAATTTTTAAAGCAACTATTACGTATAAATAAACGTTTAAGGTCTCGTACCCTGTGCTACAGTAGGGAAAGCATCCCCTTTTTGCACTTGTTCGGATATATATAATTTATTTCATTGTATTGTGGGCACTTGAATAAAACATAGTTTACATATCCAACTGGTTCATAACATGTGTTGTAAATTATCCGCAGCTCCCGTTTTATAAAATCTGGCTCGATCTGATTTTGTGTGGGGCGGTTATCATAGGCAAATTATTTTTCTAACACCATGAGTAGAATATTAACTTTACGTACGTTGTACAACACGTAAACTTTTACTTTTGTGCACTAGTAAGAAAAGTAAATTTAATAAATAATATTGACAGTATTAAAAATTAAGACGTTCAAATTGCTTTTTGTCAAAAATAAAAAATTCGATGCAAGAAACTGGATTGAAAAAAAAAAGGGGGAAAATTGCGTGCCTATTTAAGGATTTTCGCTAAACTTGAAATAACTACAAATAGAATATTTTCATTTTTTTTAACCTTAAAGTATCCTCAAAGGTTCAAACTTATGCGATTTTTCTTCCATTGTGATCTGAATGATTGATATTGTCACTTTTGTTAAAAATCAATTAAACGATAAATTTTGCATCTTCTATTAATGTTTCATTAATGTTTTTAAATTGAAAAGGTTTTTTTTTCGAAAAAAAAATACATTCATATTCACAACGCTACACAAAATCGTAAAAAAATATTATATTAATACAGAATAGATTTTTGGGTTAGTTTCGAAAAAAATTGTTTTTTTCTAATTATAACTCATGGAAGCAATTTGTACTCTAGAGAACTTCGTTCAAGTTTCAAGATTGGCGGAAGAAAAATACATACTGATTGAGGGGTATACCACATTTTGCAATTTAAATTGACATTTGAAAAGGTGGAAACTCCGGTAAAAAAGGATTTTTTTAGTGATTAATGCAGATTGTTTTTTCAAAAAATTGTAATTTATTTTTTTTGGTACTTTGATGAAAAAAAAATATATTTGCAAAAAAAACAAAAAAAAATTTGAAAAGATGGTAAATTTATTTTTTAATTGATTTTTAACAAAAACGAGAATTTCAATCATTGTTAAAAAAACCGAAAATGTCCTTAGTCGTAAAGAATAGAAAATTCTTATCAAAAAAAATAAGAACATCTTATATAGATATAAAGACATAAGAAACAAACCTTAAATGTGTCGTACATTTGGATTATGGGCGTACATAAGAAACCGTATCCTTACTACAACTCCTTTTGCCTTCTATTATTAAAATTAAATCTCAATGTCTTAAAAAACGACCTAGTTAATAATAACGTTATTTATAAAAAATTTCTCGAATTTCTCATGCTTCCTTTCCGAATTGAATTTAACATGGTAAAAAATCCAGACTTTTTTAGAAACGAGTGCTAATGTTATGTTAGGTTTAATGATGTGATTGGTAACGTTAATGAAAGTTGAAAAGGATTCTTGGAAACACCCTAAAAAGGTAAAGGTAGTAACATTTTCAAAATATTCAGTGGTGTTCTGGGATTTTTACTGAAAGTGGTGCTCTGTGCAAAGTAACTCTTGGTATCTCCACCACTGGTTCACGTATTTTTATCCAAATTCAGTGGATTTTTACGTTTAATAATTATTAAGCTTCGTCAATCTATATTATCAAACGTCTTCACAGATATTTTATAATTTTTGTTTTTTATTTCAACACCCTGTATCTCGGAAACTGTCGATTTAAAATTACTCAAAGATAAATTTTATGTATTAATGTTTGATTACATATACATATTACCAAATATATTTTGCATATTTATGCCGAAAAATTATATTTTCCTTTAGTGATTTTTGTAAAAAACTAGTTTTAAATCAACGTCAGTTTGATTAATATTACAATTATAAAAAAATGTTAGTATCTGTCAGACAGCCCATATAAAAGCGAAATTTTATAGTGTATCTACTGTTTTAAACACTCTTTATTCACTGCTTGGTTCATCTGCTCATTGTGTTATTTTTATTACACCAGTACATCTGGAGACAGTGTGTCATATCGTCGAGAGTGAACAAATTAACTAATAATGGTACTAAAGAGCTAAAGTAATAGCAACTGTATCTAGTGGTTGATTCATGTACATATATATTTTTTGATTTTAAATGTAGATTTAAACAATTAATTATTCGTAAGTAGTATTTATTATTATTACGTGTACAGAGTATTTTATAGGTCCATATCACAACATGAATTTTTTAACTCAACCATTTTAAATTGAAAAATAATTGATCTTAATTGAAAAATATTATTTGTCTCTGACTCGGGATACAAATATACTGAATTCATATGCAAATAGGCCAATCACTGGCAGAGGTGACATATTTGTCACTAAGAACGTCAATCCTTGAAAACCGATATTATTAAGCTCTTGATTTACCAGATTTCCATTCAAAGAACCTCTTGAAGTTATATGAATTAAAAAAAATACCCTGTCTAAAACACAGTAGAAATTTAAATTACTCAAATATTTGCATACAAGGTTAACCATATTATAGTACAAATCCTCATTCTATTTGCGAGACAACAAAGCAAAGAACAATAGTTTCATTTAAACATACTGCTTACTGGCAAATTTGTGTTTATTTTATTTCTTTTTTCTTGCAATTCATTTTAACGGTTTTGGTAAATCGTCTATTCAGATGCATGATGCATACATAAGTTTATGTTATGACTACAAGGTGTAACTAAAATGATAAAATTTTAATAGTCACAAACAAAAGAAAAAGTTTATATGCCTAATCAATCATATGCCTCCAAAGACACTGTATATGCAACAAGTGAGTAAAAGAACACTTTTTACGATTGGGAATTTTGTCACATAAACGATAATCTACTAATACAAACCTGTTTAGATTCTAATAGTGGTTCTAAGGCTTTCACGTGCTGTGCTAATATTTAAAGTACGATGGTTTTTTGGGTTGTTATGCCTTGGCCTTGCAGAGTCACCACTAAAGATGCCGACAGTGAACAAAAATGGGAGGACAAAGTTCAGTTTTAAGTGGAACACCCTGTATGCGGCTTTAGTAATTTTAACCCCCAATTTTTTTTCAATTGTGATTCATGATTATGATAGAGAATAGAACATTAAACTTTAAACAAAGGCCAAGACTGTATCTGTAGTTAAATTCTGTACAAAAAATCTTAATTATTTTCTATATTCCGATGATTATCGAAATGATGTTAGGTATTAACAGATTAATATATTCTGGAAATAAGCGTATAGGTTATAAAAGGATCGTAGGGGCAAGTTTCATTATCGAGTATAAAATACATTTTCTAGAGCAACGTTGTATAAATTTAAGCAGGCAAAGAATGCTTATCGCCAACAGCTGAAAGGAGCAGGTGTTAGTCGAGGTCTTCACAGATGGTAAAATCGCTTCGAAGTATATAAAACTCAACCTAATATTCGACGCCGCAAGATATAAACGTATAAAAACATCACCGTCAATTTTAAACGCAAAAGACAAACACACCTTGCTAATATTTCTATTAATAATATTATTCACATTGTAAATCATCCATGTCGTTTGGTATTCGCAGTTATTTTAGCAAAAATCCACCCAGCAAACAAAAGGATTTAAGCTAAAAAGTACCTACAGTGTATCTATTGTGTAAAACTTACCTGTAGAGTAATGCTGCCCCTGCGATGCCTCCCCCACATTGGGCTACAATAAAGAGGATACTTCTCAACAGCGAAATTCTTTTGATTACACCCATCGCTATAGAAACTGACGGATTTACGTGTGCACCTGAAAAGCATTGCATTTCATTCAATAGTTCTTTTTTAAAACATACTAAGTGCAAAAAAATGTTACAAATAAAATATACCTATACATAGGTAGGTACTGAGATTATGGATGTATTGCAAATTGAAAGAAATAACAAAACTACGATTAATCCACTCGAATTAGAGGAAAAAATTGGTAATAGAAAAAATAATTTATGTTTTGAAATTTTGGTTGTGGGTGGGGACAATAATGAAGTCCCAAAAAGTTCTTGGTTTTTCTCATTTTCCTGACAAACTGTTCGTTCAACGACAAAAAATAATGGGAGTGAAAATATTTTTCATTTAATTTTGCAGCAGATATATTTTATTATTTGCCTCATTTTCTCTATATTATAAGTACTTGAAACGAGTTGTTACTCTGTAAATATCTGTAAAAACCGAGGTAAAAACTGATTATTTCTAGGAGGAAAAAAATTTAAATCAATATTTCAAGTTTACATTTTTTATAATCAATAAAATGATTCTTAACATATCTCCGTTTTCTCAAAATCTTTGCCAATAAAAAAAATGTGGCAAAAAAACAAGACCGTTCAAGTGTATTTAGAGATCTTTATGATTTAGGTTTAAGCACATATTAGTAATATGTGGTTTAGGTAAAGAATAAATCATATTCATATTCGGCTAACTCAGAATCTCATTCACATTGAAAGGTGGCAGTTATCTTAAAAAAAATAATTCATTTTTTTATGTCAATAACTTTTTAAATAGGCAAAATTGTATTAATGCAACTTGATCCAATCGATTTATTTCCACCTAAGGAAGTTATTCTTCAGGTATAGCTTATTTGTTACCGCATACCCTGTAAAATTTTGTTTTATATTTTATTTTTATATTCATTGTGTGTTATTCAGTATTTATCTGGGAAAGTATTTTACTAGATATTTTTTCAAATATATTTATTTGAAGTTTTAAATTTTCTTGCCTCCTGTTTTTCCACAATTGTTAAATATCTATACCTAACTTGATCATTGATCTATAACCAAAATTTCAAAAACTAAATAATTTTTTTAAATGCTATATTGACTGTACCATACCCTTCAGGCCTTCTAAATTCAAAATAACCTTACAATACATCCATAACCGACAGCGTAGCAGGAAAATGCACTCAAATTTTATAACCTCCTAGAAGTTCTGATCTGAAATCAATGAATTTAATAAATTGCAGTTTCGGACAATCAAAGAATCATAAACTAACATGTTAAAATATCAGAAAAATCTTTCTTGCAACAAATGTATAGACAAATTCTGTATAAAAAGTATTGTCATGTAGAGCAGCCTTTAGTGACACATTAATATTTAAAAGTTAAATTTGTACTTTTGCTAGGTTCCTTATTTTTTTTTTATTTGCACACATTATACATATATAAAATCAAGAAAATAGTAACATTTAAGATTTTGAGCACAGGTAAAAATTATACCTATATAAATGTACCTACTACTTTCTGCTATTTTTCAAATTTATTGAAATCCGATTACGCCATGCAATAAATCGATTTTAATTTTTTTACTCGAAAACGGTGCGTCATAAGAAAAACAGTCGATACCTTTTCTCTTTCAAATTGAACAAAGTATTCAAAAATATTATTTATTTTAAGAAAAATCAGTGGGCGTCATTTTTTTCTTTAAAAATATCCGAGATGTGCCTGTGCGCACACCACTAGTGAAACTAAAAACAATATTTTTATCGTAAAACATATATTGTTGTTAACTGGCAAAGCCTGTAAAATTTCATTAAAATATTATGAGCGGTTTCCGCAATATTTATAAATTTGCATTTTTTATTAAAACACCCTGTAGATCGGAAACTAAGCGTTTTCGGAATATGGTATATTAAGGATCAAGATAGCAATAAAAATTATTAAATACAAACATCACATATTTACCAGAAATGTGTCCAAAGCATTGCGTTAACGAAGTAATAACAAAGCCGGAGGCCAAGGAAGTGGCGAGAAGTACAAAATGAATTGGAGCACCCACTCCAGCTCCAGCTGCGGCACCGCAAACAACAAAGACATATATAAAAGATGCGAAACATTCCGAAATTACGGATCTCCAAAATTCCAAGGTGCGTATTTCCACCCGCATTTGCGATTTACTGTTATCTACCACGTTACTAGACTCGCATCTTATATTTTCTATTTTCTCGAATATCGTCACTAGGTAATATTCGACACTTTGGTCACTCTGTAAAAAATTTTCTTCTGTCATGTTTAACACTTAATTTTCACTTATGTATATGTCGCGTATTCCTGGTTTTAATTGTGGCGACGTATTAAGAAGCACTCCGCAAGAGCATACATGTGGTATGGAGGATCGCAGCACAGTGAAATCAAATTTCAAAAGCACGGACATGTGGTCACCCTCCCTCTAGCAAACCAAAACGGCCAACCCGAGCAAAGCAAAGTGCGGGCAGATACCTACGGCCGTCGTCGGTAGTGTCAAGTTGAGTTACATATAGTATATAGCGTGTCCCAAACTACGACCACAACTGCTATCGCAGTTATTAATGAAATCTATTACTATTCAATCGAAGTGACACCCAAAAATTGACGTTCTGTGTAATTTCGAAATTATTCAACACATTTAACACTATGGGCGTGCTATCTTTTACACAAATGGACTTTTAAATAATAATTGCTTTATTTCTATTATTAGGAAACACATAGGCTTAAAAAATTGCATTTCATAAATTTTAAGAATTATATGTAACAAATAATAACCCTAGTATATTTATCTTTTTATCATTATACAGGGTGTCTCATAATTAGTGTCCAATAATTTACCACTTGATTCTATTGCCAAAAATAAGAATATTTTTTCATATAAACATGGGTCGAGAAATGCTTCCAAAGGGATGTACGTCCCCCTGAATGGGATCTAAAAAAATTATTTTTTTTTTAATATTTCCGAAACGGGTTGAAGGAAAATTATGAATGTCGTCGACTAAAATTTGCCCCTATTTTTTTGCTTATCGAAATTTTCAAATTCAGATTCTGTTAATAATAGATATAATACAATTCAAAAACCAATTTGCAGTTACCCGATTAACCGTTTAATTTAGTACATTTTAGTACGCTTCGGAAAAGCCCTGTGCTCATCCCATAGAGCGCCAAAACCCTTCTCTACGATTTATTTGCGCACTAAAGTACGGAACATAATTAATTAATAAATTCCTGCAGCTTGACTGTGAATTATTTCTTTTCCTTGCCTAGATATTTAATATCAAACGGCATAATATAACTTCATTTAATGAGAATGTTAGAAAAACGTTTAGAATTATGCCTTTGAAATAACATTAAAACAAATAGCATCCCTCTCAGGATACGTGACTGCTTATTAGCTTATTGAATAAAAAAAATATGAACATAACACCTTGATGATTTAAGAGGATAACGCTATTATTTTTTGTTACGGGGCCCTAAATAAATTACAACTTCCTTTCCAGACATGTGTTGATGTGATGTACAGTGTGTCTGACATTTATCAATCCGCCTCATGATTTAATTTTTTTATAATTGTTTGACTTTTGATATAAAATTTAGTTCACCATTATGTATTTTAACACCAACTACCATTTCAAATTTAGAAATCCTAAATACCTACTTACCACTTAAAAGTACAAACATCCCACTAAACACGAAACGTAAATGAAACGTTGCAAATGAGATGTTTTACTAAACATTTGAAACATTAACTAGAAACGTTTCTGTTTCATTACAGAAATGTAGCACTTGAAAACTTATTTAGTGAAACATAGCCGAAACGTTACAATTGAAGAGAGTTTGAAACATTACTCGAAACATTACCTTTCGATCTCGGAAACATAACAGACGAACAACCCTTTGCTATTTTTGCTTATCCTATGGAACAATCGGCATTAGTTAAATTTTGCTCTCAATCCCCAAACCTCAAGCGTTAGTTCATTTGCCTTTGTTTATATAGACATAACTAAAAAAAAAATGTGGTAGCATATTTATAACACAAGTCTAGAAAAAATGTATGTTCGTGACTTGCGTAGACTGCGTGTAACAGCCCGAGTTTATTTGTTTCCCGTGTGTCGTTTCAATTCGTATTATGTTAGGTTAGGTTTGCGGTTTGTCAGTTTGCTTGGTTTCGTTGTTATTCATCTTTACTTTGACGCTATTTTATGTGATAATTTGTAGTGTGTGCAGTTGTGGTTATTGTAAGGTGCATATAAAATAATGAATATTGATGCAAAATGTTTAAAACGATATGTGTAGAGATTTCCAATTTTGCGTCACATCTACCTAAATATAGTTATACCCACTACCTATTATAGACGAGGACAAGGGACAAGAACTAAGAAAATGGAACAACAACTATACGTTTCGATATAATTTGAAGAGCAACTACTTAGTCAGTGAGCACTATTTGAAATATGGATGAATCAAGTGAAATAGACGTCATTTATTTTATATTTTGTACAAATGTTTAGATTTGTTTATGTGTATAGGCATGCTTAAATAAAAGAGTTTAGGTATACCTACAGATATTTACTTTGTCAAGATATCATTTTGTATCCTTATTTCTGCTGTATAATTTATTATTATTAAAAGGATATATGTAATATTGACCATGCGTAGAAGAAATTATAACTTTATATTATTTTTCAGTAATGTTATTTGTTTTTCATGTACCTACCATTTCAAGATTCATAATCATAACTAACTTTTTCTAATTATCAGTTCGTCATTGTTACCATATTTATGATGGTCTCAACATTAGAAAATTTTCATTTCAGAAGCGTATTATTTGAACAATATAAAATGTGTAGCTTTTTTTTAATGCTTCTGATATTGTTTTGTGATATTTTTATTTGTACGATGAATGGCAAAATTCGTAATCCATATTAGAAACTTTTTTCAGTGGCTTCTCAAAAAGAAAGAAATTCTTAGTAAAAGTTGCCGCATCCCCAAACTAGAAGAGCATATTTATTTTTTTGTAATATACAATGTAACTTTTTTAGTTCGAATTAAGCCATTCACAATACAAATAAATATATCACAAAGGAGTATTAGAGATATTTAAAAAAATACACTATTTATACTATTTCAAAAACGCTTTTGAAATGAAAATGATCTAAAGTTGAGAGCATTATGAGAACAATATGGTAATAAAATTATTATGTTACTCAAACATTTCTGAAAATATACTGAAACGTAAAACAAAAATATTGAGGGCATAAATGGAACATAAAAAGAATGTTACTGAAACCAATTTTTTGAAACGTTTCATTGGAAACGTATTTTGGGGAGGACATCTTGGGCTTCTAGAACGTTACCAGAAGGTTGCATGGATTTTTTATGAAACGTTTCAAGAAAAATGGAAACGTTTCTGAAACATGTCAGAAACTGAAAAATGTTTAGTGGGATCATTCCAGATGAACTTTTATTTTTAGATTTCTAGGTTTAAATACAGATTTTTTACAATAATAAAATTATTCTTTAAAAAAATTTAATCTACTAATTGCATGAAGAGGAACAGTTTTTTGTTTTACATTATTTTGAAAATAAAAAGACAAATGCAGACGCGACGCTCGAACTGAACCGACTCGTCACATCAAACAAGAATCTAAATAACCATCTATTTTGGTAAACAAGACAAGTGCGGGGAATTTTAAGTTTCTAAAATACTTATCCAATTTTAACATGCACACAATTCGTTCTAATAACGTTATTTAAAAAAATAATTATTTATAATGTATAATATATATAATTAGGTATATGCTATAATATAAAAAAAAATGTTGAAAATACAAGTATACAATATAATAATATTTTAAGTACCTATTATAGGAATTTGCAGAAGTTAGCTTTATATTGAGAGGGGACGGCACTTTATTATTCTACTGCCCGCTGTAGCGTCCAGAAGCCAGTTGTGTTTGTAAACTTTAGGTTTGTTTTGGTTCCAACCTTAGAGCATATGCTCTAAGGTTCCAACAGAAAACGGTTCTAGGACGGTTCAAAGTTGTTAATCATTCCATTCGCAACAATATATAAACTTTGGAACTGCCGAACACGCTGGTAAATCTCTAAATTCTAAAGCCCCCCATACACCTGCAAACAAATTGCGTAACTGAGGCTGTTGTGCAAACAATTGTATAGTGAAGCGGTCATCAAACTTTTACAACTTGCGGAACCCGGCCAACATTTCGATTTTTTTGAGGAACCCCCACAAAAAAAATTTCGAGCACATTTTTTACTGATTATATAATATATTTATAAATACTAGTTTTAAGTAAGAGTATAAATTTTTTGAATTTTGTTGTATTGATATTGTTAATTTAAAAATTTTGAATTTTTGACTGACTCGCGGAACCCCCAGAGAGGTTGTGGGGAACACCAGGATTCCGCTGCTGTGCAACTAGGTGCAGAAATTCAAAACTTTGAAATTAATTGCAGGACGAGTGGCGTTGCGCAACTGTCGCATCGTGTATGGGCGTACTCACGACATATTGTGCAATCACTTCAGTTGTTTTCAAGAGTGATAACAGGTTCTTTTTGTATAAATGGTGTTACCATTTATAGTAATTCACGAAAAGTTATAGAGTCCATTCTTTCATCCTCTTTGCTTTCTTTTTCTTTTTTTAACACCAACATTCGACGCAATAGAAATTGTTATAGCTAAACAGGCTGCGTCGCGAGACGCCATGTTACCATTAAAACGAGACAAAAGCAACTGGAGTTTGCAAAAAAAATGCGTATAGTATACGGGGAACCTTGTTTGCCCAACAGCCTGTATGTACAACGACGTACTTTTGTACAATTTATTCGTAGGTGTATGGGGGGCTTAAGGGAAATAGCTGATGATATCAGTATTTGTCTAATTCTTTAATTTGATAATAAACTACAAAAACTATTGAAAAACATATTATCGATTCTATTTTTAATATTTGCTAACTTAAATTATATATTATGCACTGAACAATAATGTATGATGTTAAAAAGAACAGCTTTGAACATTCGCTCAGTGTTGGAACTTGGAACACGCCTATCACACAACGTTACCATTCTTTAAATACCAAAAGTTACAAATATGTTAGAAATACAAATTAAATAATGATTCTGGTTACTAACCTTATTTTACTATAATCTTTTAATACCTGTGTAAAGCATTCAATTTATGCTTTTGTTGAAGACATTCACAAGGTATTTATTTTTATTTGGGTTGGTGCTCATGACTCATGACGTAAAAAGAAAAAGTGCTGATTCCAAAATGTCGTGTTAAATAAAGAATGTAAACATTACAAATAAAAATAAATATATAATACTAAATCTGCATATAGACATTTATTATACAGAATAAATTTCATAATATGGTGAAAATAAATACACTTTTAATATAAAGTTTTGGAAAAATAAATATTAAGTGTGAATACTTATTTGGGTTATCATCCACCATTTCTAAGTATTTGTTAATTTTTTTTTCTTGGATAAAGTTGTCATACTACCTACTTTGGTGAAGTATTAAGATGTATAGTAATATTCTATAAATGTTTACCCATGTTATAAACATTTAATTTGATTAAGGTTATATTTTTCCCATCTGTTTTTTATTTTTAAAAATAATTGCTGTCTTTATTGCAGTTCTACTAAAATGGAATTATCACACAGCTTAACCCTAAACGAAGAAGCCTTATCACAAATAGGAGAGGCTAAAAGGCCAGTTTTTATATTCGAATGGCTGCGATATGTGGACAAAGTTCTTGTAGCGGCACAGAAGGTAAGTAGTGATTATACCAGGAACAACGCTTAGATAGCAACATTTTTGCAGAACGATATCAAAGGATGTCAGAAACAGTTAGTTCAGCAACTTATGAACCGCATACAAGAATCTCCAGGTCCCCCAACAAGAAAATTAATTGCCAGATGTCTTGCCACATTGTTTTCAGTTGGAGACACGTTCTTGCTCTTCGATACGGTGAATAAATGCAATGATATTTTAAAAAATAAGGATGACTCGCCCAGCTTCTTGCCAACTAGATTGTATGTGTTGTCCCGAGTACAAATATTTCAAATATTTAATAAAATATTGTTTTAGAGCTGCTATCTGTTGTGTTGGTACCATGTACGAAAAACTGGGTAGGATGATGGGTAGATCATATGAAGAAACAGTTCATATCTTAATACGTTCCCTCAGAAATGCAGAATCGCAAACAAGGATTGAAATCATGTTAACATTAGAAAAAGTATGTGCTGGAATGGGAAGCGCCATTTCAAATGTTCACAAAGACATATATAAAGCTGCAAGACACTGCCTTATTGATAGAGTGATGGCTGTTAGATGTGCAGCGACTAGATGTTTGTTGGAAATGTTGAACCATGCACCATTTTTATACACTACCGAATTGGAGAGCTTAGCAACGTTGTGCTTCAGAGCTTTTGATGGATCTAACTATGAAGTACGATGTGCGGTTGCTAAGCTTCTTGGAGCCCTTATCGCCATGACGCAACAGAATCAAAATACAGGAAAAAATGGTAAGCATTTAGAGAATGTTCGCGAGTTTATGCAAAAATTATTTACTTTTAGCTCAACAGCAGCAACCTAAGGGGTTGAAATTGGTGTCTCTTGATGAAGCACTGGGTATTCTCATGTCAGGTTTTCTAAGAGGAGGCGTCGGGTTCTTGAAAGGTACCGGCGAAATTATTAAGGGTAGTTCTGGAGTAAACAGAGAAGTTCGAGTGGGAGTAACACATGTAAGTACATAATTTTTTTGAAGTGTACTTCGAAAATTTTAAAATTGATATTTTCTGCTGTGAACCACGTTAAAAGTTTAAAATCTTACTATGATTAAAAATAAAAATGTATACACACACTAATTTATATTATTTTATAACAATATTATCTAAATATTTAAAAAAATAAACTGTTGTAACAATTCATAATTATTAGATTATTGATTTTAATCGATTCATTCTTTATTAGAAAGAAGTTGATTTTTAATTAAATGTTTAAATCTGAAATTAATCATGATTTAAATACAAAATTTGAGGAAGATTCCAGAGGTTCTCAATAAATTTAACAATTTTATTCATTTTAAACACTATTTTACAGTTTCAACAAGTTTAATTATTGAAAATGCTTATTATGAATAAACTCTACCTACGATTAAAAAATGTTATCCTAATTTGTAATCTTGTAAACTTAAGAAAATAATAAGTACTTATAATGATGCGGTTCATTTGTTTTTTTTTTCATTTTGCAAAGCAACGAATCGTTCATAAAAAAAAAGATCATAGTAGTAATACTTAAAAAAAAAAACATCAATTTAATTTCTTTTTCAATCTTTGGTAATTTGATTCTAATTTATGAATGCACAAAGTAAATATGATTTTCTCCTCGTATGCAAAAAGGCAATGCTCTGGTACTCACCAAAAAGTTTGAAGCTAGATATTTTGGATTATTTAATATGCAATTATATATTACACTGCAAATAAAGTAAATGAAACACTTAAAAATTCGATAAACCATACTTCTTTTTAAAATTTTTTATTTTCAAACGTTTCAAATGCAGTAAGTAACTATTGCTTGGCTTTTTTTAGGGGTATGTAACATTTGTCCATATATTGGGCAGCGTCTGGCTAGAAAAAAATATGAAGACATTTCTTAGCCATATTCTGTACTTGGTAGCAAATCCGAAAGCAGCATCTTCACATGTGGATGCTGTGTACTCCAGAAAATGCATAAACTTCATTTTGAGAAGTGTTTTTGGTAAAATGTTGGGCGAGAAGGCACAAACCTCAGCTTGTAAAGAGATTGCGCAAATAATAGTGAAAGAAATGAATTCTATCGACTTCAATCCTGAAAACGCAAAGGAATTTAACCAGGAAACACTATTTAGTCAGCACCTACTAGTTTGTGCTCTACAAGAAATTGGAAGTTTGATATTAAGTCTTGGTACATCAGCTCATGACATAATCACTGACCAAACATTAAGTAGGTTAAAAATCACATTTTAATTCATTTTTATATAATTCTTGTTTTAGATCTGATCGATGTTACTGTGAGCGTACTTATTCATCCTTGTCAAGCAGCAAGGCTCGCAGCAGCTTGGTGTTTACGTTGCATTTGTGTTGCTGTGCCGAGTCAGATATCTCCTCTTATAGACCGTTGCGTCAACGGCATCGAACAGTTTCGAACTTCACCGGAAGCCATATCAGGGTACAGCTCGGCTCTAGCCGCTGTTTTAGGAGGCGTAAAACTTTCACCGCTCGGTGTACCACATATGAAAGGGAAAATAATATTTAACACAGCAGAAGAACTGTTAAGAAGCGCCAGTCAGAACAGTCGACTGTCGTTGAACAGAACACATGCTGGTTGGTTGTTGATCGGGGCTATAATGACGTTGGGAATACCAGTCGTCAGGGGATTGTTGCCGAGAATGTTGCTGCTATGGAGGAATTCTTTTCCAAGATCTGCGAAGGAGTTAGAATCTGAAAAGGCAAGGGGCGATGTGTTTACGTGGCAAGTTACACTGGAGGGCCGCGCTGGCGCGTTGTCCGCCATGCACAGCTTCCTCCAGAACTGTCCGGAATTGGTTAACGAGGATACAAATAGGAGGCTTATGACTCCGATAGAATCTGCGCTTGCTATGCTTACAAAGTACGTTTAACATACAAAATATTTTGTTTCTTAACACGAAATTTGTTTTTTTTTTAGTATTTCTAGCATATTGAAGACGTATGGGCAGCAGTTAAAGGCTCCTGCTGCAATGGTGCGGCTGCGGCTCTGCGAAACACTTTTACTTCTTGCACCACAGTGTTATGAAAGTAAGATTAACAATAATTATTATAGTAGTACTTTAATAATGGCAATCCATCACATAATTAAGTTACAGTTAGATTATTCTAGCCTCTTTTGGAAAGTACAATGCTCTTTTAAATGAATTAAGAGATTTGCAGAAGATATCAGAGGGACAATTACTGTATTCACTAAATTACAAAGTGATTTGCGATATCTATAATTAGTTGAAAGGGACTGAATTCGAATGGGGTCTTATTATTTTCACTTGTGTATAGGGTTGCCAGATTTTCGGGCCCCCGGGTTAACATGTCATTTCTCCGGGTTTTCTTTGTTGCGGAAAAATCGTGAACATTTCCTGATTGCATCTTTTTTTTTTTTCTTTTCGGGCTCATCACAGAATCATGTCTATGTCATTGCTACATTGGACACAAAATTAATTATTTTAACTTATTCTAATGGGATGTTGAATAATTTCTTACTGATTTTTCACGAAAATTAATACTTTATTATTATAAAAAATTAGTAAAAACGTCATTAAATGTATTGTGTATCCACTATCCATTTGTCATCGCCAGTTACGATACGATGAAAAAAACCGTTACGTTTTCATTTTGGCAGTTCCGGCAACACCATCTGTTGAAAACAGCGAGAACTTATTTAACATCTCTGTAAAATATCAATTTTACGTCATTTAAAATACATTACAATGTTTTTTAGATTCTTATACCCATTTACTAAGAATGCTGGTAGCTGAATTTACTTTAACTGAAAATCCCGCAAATACGACCACATCCCAGTTGCGTACAGTGTGCCATGCTGACGATTCTGTCATTTTGGGCACTTGGTTGCAGGAGACGGACCACAGAACAATTGAAGATCAGGTACGTGATGGTCGTTTTCTGTATATAATATTGCTTCTATTCTTGTCTCTCTTAACATTGTCCTTCTAACTCTTGTACCAGGTTAGGGTTGCTTTTACTAAAATATTTTTTGTGTCATCAGATTTTTTGTTATTCGTTTATTAATATTGTGTATTCACATCGAATAACTAATTATTTTGAGGTTACGTACAAAACCTAACCTAAGAATAAAGTTGAGTTATGTCTGCGAAACCTTGTAAACAACCTAAAATAAAAGAGAATGGGAGTTTTGCTTTATGCAAATAGATTTTTTTGTGGTTGTGGTAAAGCAATAACTTCAATTAAAATTTTTCTTAGATGGAGCCTAATCGCAGGGCAGATGGTGAACATGTGAGTAGTCCGAATGTGTTGATTGTATTTATTTTTAACGCGCGCTTAATACCTGACTGCTTCATTTTCTTTTCATTGCTAATTTCACTTTTCTTTAATACGCTTTGTGGCAAAAAATAGTAATGGCCCTTTTTTTTAGCTACAACCCAACAGCGCTGCTGGTTCTGGTGCGCTAGAACACGATCCTTGCTGTCTGTACCGACAAGTCCAAACGGTAAAATTTAAAAAGTTTCATATAAATTATATGAACTACATTTTTATTTGAATCATATTTACAGGGTGAGTTGATACCGGGACCTTTGCCTCTTGGAGTTGCCGTTATCGATATATCTGTGCTTCTTTTTGGTCAAATCTTCCCTAGAGTAACCAACAAGCACAGAGTGCAAATGTTAGACCATTTTGCCGAATGTATAAAGCACGTACGGAGCACCAGGCAAGAAGCCGTCCAAATGAACGTGTTCACAGCTTTGTTGAGTGGTCTCAAAGGATTAACTGAAACGAAAGTTACTTTGAGTCAGGAAGACATAAAAAAATCAGCTGTCAATCTTATAATTGGGGCTCTTACATCACCAAACCCAATATTACGCTGTGCCGCCGGAGAAGCTGTAGGCCGAATAGCGCAGGTGATATCCGATCCTAAATTCACGGCCGAATTAGCGCAGACAAGTTTTGATAGGTTGAAATCCGCTAGAGATGTCGCTAGTAGAACCGGACATTCACTCGCCTTAGGCTGCTTACATAAATACGTTGGTGGAATGGGATCCAGTCAACACTTAAACACGAGCGTTTCGATCCTACTGGCGCTAGCGCAAGATCAAACTTCGCCGATCGTACAGGTGTGGTCGCTACATGCTTTGGCACTTATAGTTGACTCGGGTGGTCCAATGTTTAGAGGATATGTCGAACCAAGCCTTTCATTAGCTCTTAAATTACTACTGAACGTTCCACAGTCGTACATTGATGTTCACCAGTGTATCGGTAAAGTTTTATCGGCGCTGATCACAACGATCGGACCGGAACTTCAAGGAAATACTTCCAGTATATGCACTGCCAGATATTCGTTTTTGTGCGCCTGCGCCATCATGCAGGACCACCAGGACCCTTTGGTGCAGGCCGAAGCAACCGGATGTTTGCAACAGCTTCATCTGTTTGTACCGAGGCATGTCAATTTATCTTCGTTGGTGCCAACCTTATGCGTAAGTATTTTTACCGTGAACCTTGTGTATATAGAAAAATATTAAATATTAATATAATATCACTCTTGGTCGGAGAGAAAACAAATGTCTATTTCATAAATTGTCTAAGTGTTATAATTGTATCCTTCAAAGTTGTAATAATTAATTTATTTGTGGGTAAGTCCATGTTTCCATTTAATTTTTGAATCTTCAGGACTACATGAGGAAAAACGCATTTAGATAGTTTAAGTTTACGTTTTAATTATTTAAGTTAACACTACTTGTTTGTTTAATATTTGAAAAATTAACATATTTATTTTTACCTTAAATACCGTTACTACGTAATTTTGTAAAATATTTTTTGGTCATTTAAAACGGTTCATTCAAATTACAATATACAGAGTGTAACTTTGAATTGGGGTCATTTTTATATGGAGGCTACCTCCCTCTGGCCTTTAGAAACGAGTGTTCTCAAATTCCACCATGATTTTTTTTTCTGAACTATGAATATCGATATTCCTTATTCACTCAACGATATAAGTATAATAATTAGTCACACCCTGTATAAAGCATCATGACTAAATTTTTCATAAAATTAAAAAAACATACTTAAATTATCATAACTTGGCAAAGTGGTATATAATTTCAGATTAGTATCCTAGAGAACACATACTGTCACCGCCAAAAACTGGCCCTTCCCTTAAAGTCCCCCTGTATAAATCATCATGAGTAAATTTTTCATAAAATTTTAAAAAATATTTAAACTATCATAACTTGACAAAGTGGTATATAATTTCAGATTAGTATCTTAGAGAAGACATACTGTTACCCCCAAAAACTGGCCCTTGTTTTAAAGTCCCTGTATAAAGCATCATGAGTAAATTTTTCATAAAATTAAAAAAAAAATACTTAAATTATCATAACTTGGCAAAGTGGTATATAATTTCAGATTAGTATCCTAGAGAACACATACTGTTACCCCCAAAAACTGGCCCTTCCCTTAAAGTCACACCCTGTATAAAGTATCATGAGTAAATTTTTAATAAAATTTTAAAAAGTACTTAAACTATCATAACTTGGCAAAGTGGTATTTAAGCACAATAATTTAGGATTGTATAGAGGGAGATGGTATATCAATTGAAACAAGAAAATTCATGGTGTTTCGTGAAAGAAAAAGGACCCCGCACAAAATATATGGAAAATGGTCTTTCGGTAAATCTTGTTGAAATTTTGCAAAGAGGTAGGTTTCAGCTTGCTGAACAAAAGTCTCAATGATACGAAGATCAAAAAACCTCACAAAACCTCACCCAATGCCACTGTGCGGCTTGAAATATACGAAAAAAGGTATTTCATTGAATCTTGCTAAACACAGGTCAACATTTGATCCACAATGAAACACCCAAAGTGGTCTGGTTTTTACAGGGTTTTTTAGGATCGCTGATTACGATAAGTAGGTCAGTTAAGCTCCATCGCATCAGTTTCAAGGTCATTTCAAGGTCATTTGAAGGTCAAGTAGAGAAATAGCCGTCGAAAAAATCTGAAAAAATTCATACACATGTTTCCGAGGTCCCTGGAGATGACCGTCGGCCATATTGGATCCGCCATCTTGTATTTGGAAACTATGGAAATCTAACTTCATATTCACGATCAGCGACCCTGAAAACTCCCGAATAAAAAATTCAGACAAAAACATTGAGTAGAAGAATGCATGACTAACCGTCGGCCATATTGGATGCGCCATCTTGGATTTGGAAACTATGAAAATCTAACTTCATATTCGCGATCAGCGACCTTGAGAACCCCCGAGTAAAAAAATTCAGACAAAAATATGCTGTAGAATCATGTATGACTCAAAGGGTTAACTGACCTACTCATCGTAATCAGAAACCCCAAAAACCCTATAAGGACCAGACCACTTTGGGTGTTTCATTGTAGATCATATGCTGACCTGTGTTTAGCAAGATTCCTTTTTTCGTATATTTCAAGCAGCACAGTGGCCTTGGGTGAGGTTTTTTGATCTTGGTGTCATTGAGACTTTTGTTCAGCACGCTGAAACCTACAAAAATCTCTGCAAAATTTCAGCAAGATTTACCAAAAGACCATTTTCCATATATTTTGTGCGGGGTCCTTTACATTTTGACATTCCTCTGGGAAGTTTTACTCTTTATATTAAATTCTAACCATTTCTGTTCCAGCGAACGCTCTCTAGCAATCATTTGTTATTACGAAAAGCCGCAATATCATGTCTGAGGCAATTAGCGCAAAGAGAAGCTAAAGAAGTATGCGAACATGCCATGACGTTGGCTAGTGAAAGTCGCGACCACAACACTGTCGAAGGTTTACTTATAACAGAAACTGGACTCCCCGGGGTGTTCTTTAGTATGCTGGATACAGAAACCGACACAAATCTCATAAAAGATATCCATGACACGATCATAAGTATGTTGCAAGTTCTAGCCGCTGATAATCTCTCCCAGTGGTTAGGGTTATGTAAGGATGTTCTCACTGTGGCCACAGGTAGATATAAAAAAAATTAATAAATTATTTTGTTTATGGTACGATTTTTTTGTTTTTGTAGAAACAAGCAGTGAGGATCGTCTCAGCTTGAACACAAACGAGGGCGAAGAAAACGATGTTGAAGGCGACGACGATCAGGCAGAATTCCACGCCGAGGAAGACGCTTCCCATCCAGCGATTCAACCGAGATGGCCCACTAGGGTGTTTGCTGCCGAATGCGTTCGGAAAATAATAGCAGCTTGCGAAGCTAACAACAAAACTGCGCACTTCGATCTGATCCAAGCGAAGGAGATGTATCTAACGAAAGGAAAGAGCGACTATTTAGCCCTACACTTATCCGATTTAATACGAATGGCATTCATTGCCGCAACGAGTGATTCCGACCCGTTACGGCTTGAGGGTCTGAAAACTTTGCAAGACATCATCGAGAAATTCGCGAAAGTACCGGAACCCGAATTTCCGGGTCATTTACTGCTGGAGCAATTCCAAGCTCAGGTCGGCGCCGCGTTGCGACCGGCCTTCTCACCCGATACGTCGTCTCTCGTAACGGCGGCAGCTTGCGAGGTGTGTTCGACCTGGATCGGTTCGAACGTTGCGAGGGATCTAAACGATTTACGCAGGGTACACCAACTACTCGTTTCGTCTTTAACGAAGTTACAAAATAAAAACAACATGAACCAGTTGTACAATGAAAGCTTGTCGACCCTGGAAAAACTCGCCATACTTAAGGCGTGGGCCGAAGTATATATCGTAGCGATGAAAGGGAACGAATCGGCCCCTTCCATGTATTTACTAACGACGAATAACAGTATGAATAATAATGAGTTTACCGACTTCGAATACCGCGGGGAGAGTCTCTTAACTCTAGTACAACCCGAACTGATAAGTCTATCGCAATATTGGTTGTCAGCCTTGAAAGACCACGCTTTATTATCGCTGCCGAGCGAATTCTCCAGTCAACTTCCTCACGACGGTGGAGCGTTTTACACAAACGAAACGATGGAATCCGCGAGGCCGTATTACGCTTCTTCGTGGCCCCCGATTTTACACGCCGCTGCACTTTGGTTAAATTCCGGATGTTTTAAAAAAGACCTCGATAAGGACTTAAACAATGACAACTCTTTAAACAATAACAAACCGAACGATAATGCATCCGATAAATTCCACTTGCTTTTCGGCATTTGCATGGAAGCGCTGTGCAGTCCACGATCAACGGAGCCTCTAGAAAGCATAATTACCTGCTTGCAGGCGTTATATACTCTTCTTGATGCGGAGTATACGAGGCAGTTGCTTATGAGCGACGGATCTTTAGGAATCGAGCTGTGTAACGTCCTCCACCGCCTGATACTGACAAGGGACAGTCACTCGTGTCAGTTGCTTTGCTTGGAGGTTCTGAAACAAGTTATAAAAGCTGCACAGGAGAATTTAGAGGAGAAGAAACGGAGCAAGAAAGACGAGGAAGACGTTACGACCGATGTTACGATGTTGGGCGAGGGAGGCGAAACCGGTAAAATAATTCCGGGCAAATCCTTAGTATTCGGTGTGTTGGAGGTTTGTTTATGTCTCTTGATCCGTCAGTTACCTTCCTTGAGCCCATCGCCAAATTCGACAATCGTCAACTCCTTACGGATAATGCAAAGTAACGAACAGTCAGGGCAATTGCTTGCCGCAGCTGTAACTTGCATGGAGAGTCTGCATAAACTTTGTTCTCCCAAAGGGGCCGTTGCTATCTTGCCAACGATATTATATTTGACCACAGGCGTAGTGAAAGAAGTGGCCACGAAAAACGTTAACGATGCGAATATCTTGGCAAATAATCCTTCCGTTCAGGCCGCACTGCACTGTTTAAAGATTCTCGCCACGGATCCTTACTGCAAACATCCCGATAGCGGTGAAAACTGGCAGAAGCTTCTACAAAGCGCTCTCGCCAAGATCATAGACCTCGCTAAGACCGGTAGCGACGAAAATAAACTGGACGAAGTTACTATGATGCTGGCTATAGCGGTGTTCGTTCTACACGCACCTTCGAAAGTCATCACAGCACCCAACTTGCAGTATCCCTGTATAAACCATTTTAGGCAATGTTTAGAAAACCCGAATTCAACGGTAGGTAAAGAATCCGTGGAAAAATTTGTTTTCAACTTGAATTTTTAGGTACGATTAAAGTGCGTTAGGACATTAAAGTCGTTATTCTTGCACCAAGACCGTTCGGTAGCAACACCGTACATTCACACATTGGCTCCGCAGTTGGTCGAATTTTTGTATTCCGAGTCGGCCAAAAAATTGTGTTCAGATGGAGAACTGTCAGTTACTGTCGAAACGATAGTAACTGTGGAATCCCTTATAGAACTAGCAGAACCGCATAACCGTAAGTAATTTTAATCACAATTTTTTTCAGAAATTAAAAAAAAAATCAATCATATTTTGTTACCAAAATAATATCGACTACATTTTTTTGGCACTCAGGAGATATAATCCAAGGCAAGTAACATCATCGTACTTTTATTACTTAAATAAAAATGGTTAATAATACAAACATTGGTATTTATTTAATACAGGGTGTTCCATGAGTAAGTGCGAAAGATAAAATAATATACTCGTTGGTGTATTTTAAGGGTAAAATGATGATATTTTTTTAAATTTAACATTTAATGTGTTTTCTCTAGAATCATGCAATTATTAAAATGTAGTGTTTTCTCAAAAAATAAAAAAAAGGTTGACGGAAAGTTAGGTAAAATTTGTTCTAAATCTATATTTAATTGTGCAGTTCTCTGAAAAATTTTATTCTATTTCTCAGAACAATTTAGCAAACTGTACTAGTTCTGTACTATTACTGAAACTTAATTCAGAATTTTCAAAGGTAAAAAAGTTTCAACTTTGATTAAATTAAGGGTAACAAATGCCCTGTAGTTGTGGGAAGTGCTATAATAAAAAACTTTATATGAACCCCCCGCCCCTTCTCATAAAATTTGCCAAGGTTTTCAATTTTCATTTTTGGTACTTATTTTCGAAACACCAGTAGTGGCTAGTGAAAAATTTTGGTAATTTTCCCCAGTTTTCATGATTTTAAATCAAAATTACACATACGCCTTTAGTAAAAGATTTTTTTTTTTCAATTAGGTATCCAAATGTTAACATTACTAGTACCTATTTTGGTGAATTATTTGCTAGTGGAACCAATCAGATCTGCCAACAAGTATGCGCAGTCGTTGCATGAAATTAGTTTACAGTGGTTGATGAAAATAGGGCCAAAATATCCGCAGGTATTTGTGTTTCTTTGTGTGATTATTTCGTGTAATAATTCTGAGTTGCCTTTTAGGAATTTAAGCAGCTGATGACCCAAGCTGACGGTTTGAGAACGAAATTAGAAAATGCAATAAGATCGAGTCAGGTAAATCATAATAAAATTAAAAACGATATTAATGTGAACCAACCATTCTCCAACCATACACCAACTATTAAACTAAAAACTGATTTTAGTAACTTTTCTTAAAATGCTGTGGTATATTTTATTAATTGTGATAGAATTTTAAACTGTATTTCATTTTATTCAATTATGCGACTATGATTAAATTTTAAAGCTTATTTGACCAGTACTTTTATAGTAATAGTTACAAGAATTAATTTTTAATTTTTGTTTTTTTTTTCACATTGATCATGGGCCAATGTTTGCTTTATTCCTTTTAATATATTTTTAATGGTTTTAGATATACATATATACCCTATCAAGACCTAATTTATTTATATTAATTTATATACAATCCCTTTATATAAAACGTTATAAACTGCTGTAGTTTAGTAGGTGTATAGTATTCGATCAGCTGTACCAAAATATGTTATGGGATTAGATGGTTACTAAATGACTGAACTTTGTAGGAAATTATACCGTGTTTAACACAATACTCTTTTTATAAGTTTTATCATGAATTTTGTAGGTACGTAACAAAATCCCAAAAATTTGTGTATAGATTAACGCAATTGACGCAAATGTAGTACCTATTTAATAAAATGCAGTAACAACAACCATTGTTTCATTTAAACACTATCCTGACCACTCAAGTCTTCATAAATATTCTTGCAACAAGAAGAAAACCGTTACATTCTAACATTTTACTAAATGTAAAACAAAATTTGGAAGATGTTCGAAAGCAAGTATATATACACACTTGAGATGTATTAACGGTTGAGATGAACTGATGAACAAATCTATGAAGTTGACCATAGTCCTTTCTACCTCAACGCCTTAAGCACCGAAGTGTCGAAACCTAAAAATTAGCACTGAATTAAATTTCCGTCGTTGAAAAAAATATTTAAATTTTCAAAGAAATTTGCCATTTCTGAAGTTATTTATTGTTTATACACCAACTAATAAATTTAAAATATATTTAAAATTGTTTGTTTCACAAATATGAATAGCCTATATCATAAATATCTATTGTCTTAAAAAAAATTGGCATAGAAATTTTAAATTTTTTTGAGAGCTCTTGATTATTCCCCATAATTAAAATATTCTTTAGCTATGATTTTAAAACAAGATGGTTATACATTAAAATTTTATTTCTAACGATTATACGTTTTTGATTAATTATTAACTGACAGTTATTTTAATAAAAATAATTTAATAACTTAATACGACATAACTAGAAGACACGTTTTTTTTCTTACCAACAAAATAACAGGAATTTAATTCATTCATTATACTCTGTGATTTTTAATACACCCAGTATATTGCCCACTGGTTGACGTATTAATTTGGAAATCTATTCAGTGAATTTTGTCATTAATTAAATAAATTAAAAATTTGCAAAACAACAAAAACTCCTTCAGAGGTATTTAAATTCAAATACACTATATTTCTGCAAACCAATGGCTTTAGGCTTTAGATCCTTGACCCTTGTCCTTAAAAATGATCTGAGGAAGAGGCAGAACCTCTTGGAGTTATGACTTGGATTTAAATATGAACTGATCTCCTCGGCCAGTTTAATGTGGGAAGGAAAGCGTTATTTTTTCGTCACAGAGAACAAGGAACACAATCTATTGTCCATAAATATCTTTGACATGTGGACCAATGAAAAGCCACCACGATTATCACAAATCACGATTAAAATTTTGTTGTTGTGTTGGTGGAGTAGGCAGATTAAAAGACTGAGCCGGTGTAAAATTTTAATGTTCGCGTAGTTGACTGAAGTGAAAGAAAATAAAGTTACAGAAGAATACAAAATGATTAGGACGATCCGTAAGTGAAATGTGTATCACTTATTTTATACATAATGCGTAATTTGTAGGTTATATATTCTAATGTGTGTTTTTTTGTAGTTTTAGCAATTTTAATGCCCTATTGCCTGGCATTGTACCCTTCCAGTGGCAACGTTGTTGAATTGACACCCAACAACTTCGATAATCTGGTGACAAGGAGTGACGAGATCTGGATTGTGGAGTTCTTCGCCCCTTGGTGTGGACATTGCCAGCAACTTGTTCCGGAATACACTAAAGCAGCCAACGCTTTGAAGGTAAAATTACAAGCTTTGTTATGCTGTTTTAATTATGACGATTTTACAAGTCTTTCACTTCGGTATTCAGTTAATCTTTATATGGACCTACTAACGTATTATCTTTCTTTTTCTTTAACAGGGTATTGTGAAAGTAGGAGCAGCTAATGTGGATGAACATAAAGAATTAGGGGGCAGGTATGGGGTGAGAGGTTTCCCAACGATTAAAATATTTGGAGCTGACAAAAACAAACCTGAAGATTACAATGGAGGCAGGACTGCTAAAGATATAGCTGAAGCTGCACTTAAGGCTGCCAGAAGCAAGGTTAAGACCGTTTTGGATGGAGGATCTTCTTCCAGATCAAGTGACGTAAGTTTCCATTTACGAGACAAAAAAAGTTTAATTGATATATTTAACATCATCGCAATATACAGGATGTTTCGAGCCAAACATGCATTAATTAAATATCTCTCCTTTTTTATCTATAGGGTGTCAAAGTTTTTAAAAAATGTTGCTAATTTTGGCAGTACATATTTCGAAAACTGTTTAGTTGAAAATTTCAGCAATCTGAAAGCCAAAACAATAAACATTTAAAAAAAAAATTATAATCTCTGTTTTTACCAGTTATAAATACCTAAACGCAAACTGATTTAAAAGTGAAACTTATACTGCATATTGAATGAAATGTATTCAGTTAATTCTAAATATAAGTTGGATCATCAAAACATTTAAAATAGGATGCCAAGGAGGGTAAAAAAATTGATTTAAGCTGCCAAATTGCTCAGATAAGTATCTACCAGAAGTATTTCAATAATGAAATAACTGTTTTTAAAGTCTCATCTTCTGACATAAGTTACGATCATATTTACTCCAACGGTAAAGTGTAACTAACTAGAGCTGTGCTAAATCGTTCCTTTCAGGGATTCAAATCATTGAAACTAACTCCCTTGTCGGAATTGAATCTTTGAATTCGTTCACGATTCCAAATACGTCGTGGTGGTGTCGGAGTTGATAAATGTGCACTCAACTCCGTTCTAGTGATGCGAAAATCGTTGAGTCAGCTCTATAATTAAGTACTTCAGATATTTAATGTTATTTATTCTTTTATTTATTTTAACAAAAATGTCCCACAAGTTTATAATCAGTTCTGATATCGAGATATGTAATTACAGATTTACACACCCTGTATATTGTATATTGAAATGGAGTAACATTTCATTGAGGCATGTTTGTCTCACCTATTTTAACCTCAAAAATCCTGTTATACTGCTTCCTGTTCTCAATTAAACACTCTGTATAACTTCACTGTTATTTTTCAGTCAGGCGATGATAAAGATGTGATCGAATTGACAGACAGTAACTTTGACAAACTCGTGGTGCAGTCCGATGACATGTGGTTGGTGGAATTCTTTGCACCCTGGTGTGGTCACTGCAAAAATCTTGCTCCCCACTGGGCTAAAGCTGCAACAGAATTGAAAGGCAAAGTGAAGTTAGGTGCTTTAGATGCGACAGTTCACCAGTCAAAGGCTGCAAAATACGGAGTTCAGGGTTACCCAACGATTAAATTTTTCGCACCTGGAGCTAAAGATTATCCAGTGGACTTTGATGGCGGGCGTACAGCAAGCGACATTGTCAGCTGGGCGCTAGATAAATTAGCAGAGAACATTCCGGCGCCAGAACTGAATCAAATCGTAGACGATGGATCGTTCAAGGAAGCTTGCGAGGACAAACCACTTTGCGTTGTTGCAGTCTTACCCCATATCTTGGATTGTCAATCGGAGTGTCGAAACAATTACATCAAAACACTTGCCGAGTTGGGCGAGAAATTTAAGAAGAAGATGTGGGGATGGGTCTGGTCCGAGGCTGGATCGCAACCAGATTTGGAAAGTGCTTTGGATATCGGTGGTTTTGGTTACCCTGCAATGGCAGTTATCAATGCGAAAAAGATGAAGTATTCCATCCTTCGCGGATCGTTTTCCAAAGATGGAATTTACGAATTTCTGAGGTAATTTTAATAATTGATTTTATTCGTCTAGAAATTCCCATTCGATATTTTGTATTTATTTGTATTATTCCACAAAATATTCAACAAGAACAATTTTCTCCATGCTTACGGTAAAATGGTAGAAAAAAAATCACAAAGTGGGATTTTCCTCTTAATACGTTCCATGCCAGTAGACACTATCAATGCTCCTTTCTTCAAAAATTATTTATTTTTATAGCTACAAGTGCCAGTTAAAAGGAAAACCCCATTTCCAGTGATACTCTGTATATAATTTCTGACGCATAAAGCTACGAGAATTACGTATACTTAAATTGTGAAATATTACAATTAACTATATGCCGTCAGTTAAATCATAATTTCTACCCGTTTCATTAACGTTTACAGAGACTTGTCCTATGGTAAGGGTAACACGGCTCCTGTGAAAGGTCAAGAGCTTCCTAAAATCAACACGATCCAGCCTTGGGACGGTAAAGATGGTGTTCTTCCAGAAGAAGAAGACATTGATCTCTCAGACGTAGACTTAGATGAAAAAGATGAGCTGTAGACTTCCTACCTGTAGAACTAATTATTGACTGTTTTTTACTAATAGATAAATAACAAACCCAGTTAATATATTCAAACTATTTCGTAAGAAGCTGTTCATAAAAAAAGAAGCTTCACACCATCACACCAAGTATTTGTTTTATGTTTTTGTACTTTAAAATATGTCCATTCTCTTCCTTAAATTTAATGTGATTTAATTTCGTTAATAAGTTGTATATTTTTAATTTAATAAAGATATTTTTTTGTACTGTGTTTTTTAAATTAATAAAATCATTGTTCTAAAGCAAACATTTGATTTAAAAAATATTTATAACATAAAATACCACACTAACAATCAACTACACTAGTTAAAACAATGTACAACTTTTTCCAAGGACATTTCTATCAGTATACAAAGCGTTTTTAGGAGTCTGTCATATCCTCACGAGGTTGATTCTTGGAACATTTTATATAGCAAAAAAGATTTGTGAACTAAAAAAAATTATAGGATTATAGGATTTATCTCAGAGAAAGAGGGATATTTTAGTTTCTAAAATAATATTTTTAATTAAAAATGCAAAATAATTTCAAACCATTTAAACTTGTCCTGTTTCTTAAAAATGCATTCAATGTCATTAAGGGGTAGTCACTCTGGAATTTTGAGTCAATTTTTGGTGTAATAAGTGGTGTAAACAATGGTTTATGTGAAAATATAGGGAAAGTGCTGGGTGAGGAAAAAATCGGTAATACGAGTTTTTTTTGAGGTGGAATGCAATCACTCGCAGTGCGATCCAGGAGTGCTTATTGTAACGCTTGAGTACGTGAGTGATTGTTAACTATTATAAAGGTCAGATTGAGTTAAATGTACAGGATGATTCATTATATTTTGACCCCCCCTTTAACTTTTTTGTTTTAAGAGTTATAAAGAATGTGAAATTTAAAAGTTGCACGATTTTTTATGAATTTTTGGAAAATGATAGTTGAAAAACAAATGAAGCCCAAACAAAATGGCCGCTGATTTTAACTTTGTTAATTTAAATGGAACACCTTGTATATTTTTACATATTTGGATAGAATGTTCTCTGTCGAGCATAGTCATATAGGATTTGTTGGGACCATCTCTAACAGTAGGCAAGATACTATTAAAAAACGAAAAGATGGTTTTTTATTATGAAAATAAGATATCTTGTAATTGTTAGACATCTTTCAGGCATTTCTGCCTTTTTTCCAATTACATAAGGATTTACAGATTTAGTTGTAATAATTTTTGCCATATCGGACATTGATATGGTCCAAAATGGCGTATAGGTATTTTAACTTAATCTCATTAATTAGGCCGTGAGAGGCCTAATTCATGTACAATGTTATATGGTAGGCCATGACAGTGACAGGTGATGTCATAATAACAACATTGTTATTGTTTGACAGTTGTATCATTATTTAATTAAAATAGGTTATACACTAGTAGAAAATTGAAATAAAGTTCTTCTCAATACTCTATATTTTAATTCCAAATAATATTTTGTACTTCTGTGTAATCTATTATTTTCTTAATAAAAACTCCTTTTCGTTTTTTAATAGTATCTCGCTTATTGTTAGACATGGATCCGACATACCTTATATGACTATGCTCGACAGGGAACGTTTTATCCAAATAATCCAAATATGTAAAAATATATAGGGTGTTCCATTTAAATTTACAAAGTTAACATCAGCGGCCATTTTGTTTGGACTTCAAATGTTTTTCAACTATCATTTTCGAAAAATTCATAAAAAATCGTGCAACTTTTGTATTTCACATTTTTTTATAACTCTTAAAACAAAAAAGTTAAAGGGACGGGGGGGGGGTGGTCAAAATAAAGTGCATCACCCTGTACTTTTATCCGATTTCTAAAATACACAATGGCACTAAAATTCTAGGGTTCTGCAACTAGTTAACAATGTTGTAATAATAGGTCAGCGCCATCTAACGGAAAGGGGATAGTTTATATTTATTCAAGTACAGATATCGCATCGCAAATGAACGTGGTCCGATGTACCTCAAGTTTTGATTGTTAGATGGCTTCGTATTCCATTTACCTAATTATATTATGTATTTTACATTCACAATAAAGATTTTAAAGATAACTTTATCCACATTTAATATTTAATAATAACATATGTACTTATATTTTCAACGTAAATATGTAATTAATGAGAAATATAAATAGTTAGTACTTAAAATATGTACATAAAATTCAAATTATATTTAATAAAACTATCGATTGTCTCCTAATCATTGTAAATCATAAATAAATCCACATGGTAGGTAGGTGTCTTTTTCATTATGACATTAAAATTTGTAAAATATTTCATTAAAGAGTCGAGCAATGTATTTCTTAATTTATTATTTTTCCGTATAAACTTTACTATAAATTCGTTACGTATTTTATAGAAAAGAGTAACGGAAATACTTGGCGGTAACTTTTACCTTCTGACATACTGTTCCTTATAATATCCTAAGGAGCCCCTTTCCCTTATCGAATATGTGTCGATAAATATAGCAATGTTTACTTGATTTGGAATTACAGCCATACTACAGTAAGTTGGACCAACGACTGAAAAAATGTCAAGGAATTTGAAAAAGTAAAGTTTATATGTAGTATCGATACGAAACAATTTGTCTTTATTTCTGCGCATATCATATTTTATTGTGTCGATCTTAAAAACAGTGTTTGCAAATCAATTTAATAGATTTGTAACAACTTCAGAATAATATTTGATTTTGTAATTCCAAAGGTATGATATTTGAATTTTTTTAAATTGAAAATAAAAAATTTGTCGTCAAAAAAATCGTTACACTTGTATAAACTTGATTTTACCTCTTATAGTAGTCGGGCTGTCTTGCGCCAAGAACATCTGCGAGAATATTAGCAGAGGGCACGTGCCCTAGTGGCAATACTCTTACTCTTATACGATTACTACTTCCCCAAGTTACAAGGTGGGTCATCCCGTCTTCCAGTGTGTGCTACACTTTTGCTGGGCGTCTTTTATTCAACTGGAATTCCCCTTTTTGAGGGCAAAATCTCGACAATGAGTCTAGCCAGAGATCGAAACAACTGTACAGATTTTACAAAATACAGGGTGTTTCAAAATAATTAGACATACACATACAGCGTGTATGGATTAAGTCGGCGCTATTGATAACTTCGTTATTATAGGAAATACAGAATCTATTAAAACATTATTCATTAGTAGTCTCAGTTTCTTTTAATTAGTAATGAATTACACATTATTAGAGGAGTATTTCACACTCAATATCTGTTGAATTTAACTTAAAACAAGTTTATTATAAAATATTAATAAAAAAATAAGATAGGTAATTTCGTGACAGTTTCAGTTTTTCTGTGTGGTGTGTTTGTGTTCTATCAAACAAATTTATTCCTGTTGTATCTGAAAAAGTGGCAACCGAGAAAAAATCAAATCGACCACCCCTGGATATCATGTTTGACATCAATCAGACAATCTGTATAGAAGTTATAGGAAGTAAGTTGTTTAAAGAACACCCTACAGGATGTTCAATTTAACAAAAATTTAGTGAATTAGACATTTAAATTTGTTGTTTGTTTGTTTTTAGATACACGGTTACTAATCCTTAAACATACTGTATGTGATTGTAGCAACGACCCTAATGAGCAGTTTATTAACGGCATAAGCACAATATTGGTGATATCTTGGCGAGAGCAGATGCCAGCCAGGGAACCCCCTCAGCAGCTGTAATTTTGATTTGACGTTTTCTTGCTCCCCCCAGACGTAGTACCGGTAGCTTTCTCAAGCAAGCAAGACAAGAAGTCAGGGGTGCACGGTGGCATATGTGCGTTAATCAAAACCATTGTTACACGCACAAGGCACGCGCTAAGTCTTATTATTTGAGGAAACCATTCCGGTATTAATTCCTTGCGGACATGGTCAGCAAATCGTTATTTCCCCTTTGCTGCGATTATCTTTGAATGCAAAACTTCATTTGATAAGAATTTCGGAATATTTTCAGAATCAACTTAAATTAATTTAAAACTTAAAAGTAACTTTTTTTATACTGACAGAATTTATATTAACACTCTGTAGCTTAGATAGTACAACAGATGACCATAGAAACTACTATTTTGATTTGCTGCATTTTTCAAGACAATTCCCGCTTCTGTCACGCCCTGTAAATGCCCATTTGGTGGGTGAAAAACAATGAAATCTCGATTTAAAAATAGATTTTATGAGATCCGGCAGTTTTAAACATGTCTGAGGGAAAAGGGAGGAGAGTACTACCAAGGAAACATCCCTTTCCTGTTACTTTAATTAGTAAAGGAAGTGAGATATCAACTTTTATATTAATATCTCACATGAAGCTATAGAACGATAAGTCTTCATTTCCTCTGGCATTATTCGATGTATTTTCAAATTATTTTATCAACAGCAAATAAATCTTAACAATATAAAACGCATAGAAAAATTTCACCATTTAAAAAAATCGTTCATTTATTTAATTATGTTTATTGAAAGCTAAAAGACTGTTTATAAAAAATGTACAAAAATAGTCTTACTAACTTTGAGTGCTGATAGTACCAGTCAAAATAAAAAAAACTGGTTTGTGATCATATTCTACATTGTGTTGTATGACCATTATTCTCGAAATTTAAATGGACACCCTATATTCCTTGTTTATTTCGGTTCCTACGTCATTTAATTTGTAAAGACATTTGTTCTCGTCACTTGTTTAAAATTAAAAATAAACTGCAAAAAATGGAGCAAAATTCTATTTCTGAAAAATTTCAGAAATAAGCCAGACTTATTCCTTAATCCCGTGCATAAAAAAAAGCAATAAAAACATTTTTTAAGTCAGGTTAATTTACTAGGTAACAAATTTTTTGTTGTGTACTTTCTAGACAACATAAAAACAATATTATACATTTTACAAAATATAATTTAAAAGTGTTTACAATATAAATCTGAATCGGTTAAACCGAACTATTTCACTCACGTCTGTTTGGTCCACCCGGTATACTATTCCAGTACCAGTCGATTTATCGGCATATTGGCCGGTACCGATAATCGTACATCTGTAAATTAACGCTTGTATATAGGATTCAATATCGGTAGGACACCCTGTAAAGGTAGTATTTAAAGTAAAGGGAAAATCAACCTTCACTTTTCCTCGTGGCAGTTTCCTCGATTTCTAGAAGAAAATTTAACGGTCGAAACACACGACCAAGAACGTCTTTAGCACCGCATTCATGA